GCACTATGTCAATCATAAAAAGAATTTGTGTCCAAGGTTCTCGATTAGGAGAAGTTCTCGTCCCTCAGAAATGTTAAAGTTTCTGCCAATTTTTTATAGCCTGGTGATAACTTTGAGCAGTAAGTGGAAAATAATTTGGTGCGTGATGAATAAGATTGAAGCAGGCTCCAAGTAAGGAAGAAGCCGGGTTATGGTGAGTTTCGTTCTTCTTCACTATTCGCTCTTTACTTCTATCATTATAATAATGAAAGTATTTTCTACCGAATTTTCAGCCTATCCGAAACCCGAAAAAATATTGATAACCCTGCTTGTGTCTATGACTTCTTTCGATTTCTAAGAAATTTCTAACACGAAATTTACAGGATAAATAAATATCATCCTCATTAGAAATCTGTAATAGAAGTCGCAATATCTAGTTAATAGACACATATCAAACTGAAAAGATTTTTCGAATTTTCTAACTCTATTCATGTTGACGCTTGTTTATATTTTTATTGAGAAGTTACAATCATATTTAAATATCTCTATGAGTTTTCTTCTAAAAAAATAAATAATCTATCTATCATAATAGGCAATCTTATCCGAAGAAAAATTACCTATACTTGAATTGGGTACTTACGGTTCTTCATCAGCTGCTCAATCTACATCGAGTTCTTTATCATCACATGCTCAACGACAACAACGTCCATCACGTGAACGTCGTACAACATTAGCAACATATTTACGTAGTGATCGACGTTCATCATCAATGCTTCTTTCATCTGAAGCACGTCCATTTAAATTTACATTATCATCAAATGATACATCAACAACAAATAATACTAATACAAATTCTGAAACAAATATAAATGAACATTGGACACCAAGTAAAATAAAATTAGGTGTTAGTATATATCCAAAAGTAGCAGCTATTCAACCATTTCATGCTGAAAAAATTACGGGAATGTTACTTGAAGGTTTACCAACACCACAATTACAACGTATTATTAATATAGATGAAGATTTAAGAATTAAAGTTGAAGAAGCTATGAATATATTAACATCACATAGTACACGTGATACACAACAAAGCGATTCATTAATAACAACAAATGAACGTTTATTAACAAATAAAAATTCATTATTTGATAAACAACCAAATGAATTTGCACCATTATTTTGGCAACCAGATAAAAAAGGTGTTTATGCACCAAGACCAGGAAAATATACATCGGAACGTTTAACTGCTTATCGAAATGTTGGAAGGTAAAAGAAAATGTTCTGAATTTTATTTCAAGAAAAAACAAATTCTTTCTTATTTATAGATTAATTGGTTTATGTTTATTACAAAATGAACTATTTCCATTACCATTATGTCGTCATGTGATAAAATATATATTAAATCGACCAATACGTTGGCATGATTTAGCTTTTTTTGATTCAGCTATGTACGAGAATTTACGTCGAACTGCATATGATGCAGAAAAAAATGGACCACAATATATAAATGATCTTCATTTAACATTTTCAATGACTGTTACAGAAAAAGAGGTTAGTACTTTAATTATTTGTAGATAATTCATAGATGAATTCAATTTTATCTATTAGCAAATGAAGATTTGATTATTGAAAGTTAGTGAATTGATAAGTTAAAATTACCTGAAATGCAATAGAAAGGTCTTGGACTAAATGAGCTCTATCATAGACTCAATCATGTTCCATAGAATTGATAAATTTATCCAATTCATCGAAATTCTTGTACAAAAGTCAAATATTTTCGTCGGAAAACATTGCATTTTGTATGACTAAATGTTGGACACTATATTGTCAATGACTTGAAGTTTTTACTACAAGTGAAAACGAACTGTATGAGAAATTCGAGACGTTTGAACTCATATTGAGCCAAGAGGGAAAAGGCGAGACTCCAAAATTTTTTTTTGAATTACACTGCTAAAAATGAAGTTTGTCTCCATAAATTGTTACTTTTTGGATCCATCTCGACCCGAATATTGCAGTACTCTACTATAGTTCTCGTCCTTTCATCTATCTTCTTTACATATGTTTCTCTCTTACACGCAATTGCTTACTGATTAATTGTTGACGATTATCTGCTATCTTTTATATTTTTTTAGGGAGGTGAAACCTACGATCTTGTCCCAGATGGTTCATTAAAAGATGTGACATATTCTAATCTTTATGAATTTATTAAACGTTATGCTGAATTTCGAATGATTACTCTTGTTGAACAATCTCTTCAAGTAAATGAATATTTTATTAAAAATCTTTGAAAAAAAATCAAATTAATTTTATAATCATTATTTTTGTTTTCTAGCATTTACGTTTGGGTGTATTTGATGTATTACCATCAACATCACTTGATTATTTAAGTTCAGAAGATTTTCGACTTCTTTTAAATGGTACTGGTAATATAAATGTAACAACATTAATGACATATACAACATTTAATGATGAAAGTGGTAAGTTAAAAATGAAGAAGAAAAAAACTCTTAGTTCAAATTTTCTTTTCTTTTAGGTGAAACTACTGAACGTATTAATCAATTTAAAAAATGGTTTTGGTCTGTATTAGAAAAATTCAATGCTGTTGAAAGACAAGATTTAGTAAGAATAAAATATTTGTTTTTTTTTTTCTAAGACATAACTTTTATGTTTTATTGTTCAAAGGTTTATTTTTGGACGGGTAGTCCAGCTTTACCAGCATCGGAAGCTGGTTTTCAACCTCAACCATCAGTTACAATACGTCCAGCTGATGATCAACATTTACCAACAGCAAATACATGTATCAGTCGTTTATATGTTCCATTATATTCGTCAAAAAATATCTTGAAATTAAAACTTCAATATGCGATAAAGACAAAAATGTTCGGTTTTGTATGAATAAAATCTGATTGACAGTATTTTCTGTATGTTCGCATGTGTGTCTTGTTTCTATTTATTATCCGTATGTGTGTTATATTGATTGTAAAAAGGAAAACAAAACAAATCACGAGAAAACGAAAAACAATGAACATACATACATATGACATGTGATCTTCATTTTTCTTTTGTTTCTTATAAAGTTCTTTGTTTCGATCTGTAGATTGAATATATTTGGATTTGGATTCTTGGAAAAAGTAGATATCGATTTAAATTTTTGTAAACCTATCAAACATTGATATATATAACTTGTTATATATGGAAATATTCTAATAGTTTACATTATTTAAACCATGGTGTTTTTACCAATTTTATATTCAATATAAGATAGATGATTGTACATTATTCCAATAAGCACAAGGCTATATATCATATTATACAGTCAATTATCTGTTAGATGTTGAATGTGAAATTAAATTTACAAGAACATTGAATAAATCATTGAGCATAAGTACTATCTGATGTTTTTAAGGAAATGTTTGGTTATTGGAAAAAAAAAGAATCCCTTTGAAAAAGTCCTAATCATTGTAGACTATTTCCTAGCGTTTGAGTGTAGTGTCCTCCAATTTGATTGGACATTCTGCCCCCAGAGCCCGTCGAGTTCGCCTAAGTACGGGCCTGAAAGTGTTTCTCGAACGAAGTCCGAGTTCAAAAATTTTTGATTTCGACTAATTCTATCTTGCCCGTAACATGGATATGAATGTAAACTCGCCGCGTCAGTTTAGATATCAGACATGAAAAAAAATCTCAGATCGGCTCCCGAGTATGGTCTCATATCCAGATCCAACCCGACAAGGAATGAGACCTCAACGTTCTAAAGTATTTTTATTTTTTCAAACTGCTAATGTATATAAATGCATAGCAGTGAAAACCAGTTCGATCATGATTGAGCGATTTATTGTACTTAAGAACAGATCACAGAAGTGGAAGATGATATTGTTTCACTGAAAGAATTCATTTTTAATGAAAATTCATTTACAGACGATGATTAACTATATCACGAAGTGATTGAGTGTACCGAAAAGGGAAATGAGTTATTAAAAAGGTGAAAATGTATAGTCGTGATGAACAAAGTATTCATGTATGCATTTACAATTATGACTACTTTTTCATATAAACTAAAAGTTTCAAAACCATAATTTGACTGTGAAAGTAGCTGTTGGATATCGATTTGCTCCGGTCGGGCAGCGCGTACAACTATTTCGGTCCGATCACGAAAAGTCGTACTCGTGCAGGATACTATATGAGTCGTCCCTTGGTTATCACAATCATCATGGTTGATCTAATATTTTCGATCAGAATTATTTCAGAATATAAGTTTGTTTAGTGTATTTTCGGAGAAATCAAAGATCGGTCTCTGTGATTTTTATTTTTTTATTTTTTATTTGAATATTTATAAAATACATGTGAATTGAATGAACATATAAACATATTCATCAAATTTTATTACGTCAAAACTTTTGAATTGTTTGATAATCATCATCTAATATTCTTTTTCTTTTCGTTTTAAAATGTTGAATACACAATGAAGTGAAATATTTGATTTTTCACGTTGGGACTTACCATCACTACCGTTATTTATAATTAATTAATTAGTTGAATTTTTCGTCTAGTATATTTGTGATGTCGTTGCTTTCCATAATGTGTTCATTAACAATAATCGGAACTGTAAAAACAATGTTCAAGTTCAGAGTAGGAAGGTGTTTCACTGTATAATAGACAATACCTATGAAAGTTTTGATCGAGTAGTGTTTGATTGCAATTAATTGTTCGAAACCTTGTTTGTTGAAATATGTGATAATATACGAAGACAAAAGACAACAACGAGAAAGAATGCGTCTCTACAAATACGACGGATATTGTTTGATGAATTTGGATTCAAAAATGTTACAATGTTTTTGCTCTTACCAAAGTTCTGAAAAGAAAACGTCTGTGAGATAGGGAAAACATATTCAACGATTAATTAGACTTCTATTTAACAATTTGATTATGTATTTCGGTATGACATCAATTAGTATCTTTTTATCAAAAAGTTAGCCATGATCACTAGTTCTTTGTTCGTGCTCTTTTTTTTCAGATAGGAAATAATGATGAATAATTATAATTTAACATATCGTATAATTGATACGTTAAGTAAGCAAACATATTCAAAATTCTTTAGTAAATTTTATACTTAAATATTAGAACGATCAGAATCAAATGATAAAGATTCTCAATTTTGTCAGACTTATTTAATAAATGATGAAAAAGAAAAAAATGAAACAAAATTTATTTTACGATTAATTGATCTTGAAAATTTAACAAATTTAACTGAATTTATTGTATGCTAAGAATTAATTTAAATTCAAATAAGTATTTTAATCTTTTCTTTTCTTTTTTTTATAGAAAGACATATCATGGTATCAACAATTAAATCATTTGAATTTAATGTCACTAAAAGATTGCTTTCTTATTGATACTAAACTTAATCTTATTAAACCTTATGCTTCATTTGGTAAGATTAATATTTCATATTAGTAAGAAAGAAATATTCACGTCATTCTCATATAAGTTTCAATAATGTGTTAATTAGCATAATTAATCATTAGAAAATAGGAGCCGTTGTTATAATAAAGAATCGATTCATATACGTCCTTGAAAAAACAGTGTCCTCGCAATAATATGCTCATTTATTAGTCCTTTGAAAAAATGTTCTTCAAGCCTCATTAATCACATTTAATCAAGTACTTTTGGTTTATTGTAAAATCTTTTGACCCTATTTTTTTATTTGTACTGAAAAGTGACAAGCTGATTAATAAATACTGTTTTTGACGTTAAACCACTAATAAAGCGATAATATTATGATTATTATATTATTTAGCTTGATTTTTCCTCACAGGTCATTTGCTCTTTGGATATTTTCATCAAAATGCGTTTTTTTTGCTCAGGCCTACTTTTCGAGTACATTTATATGTTTGTCATTAATTCAACTATATTGGTCATTATGAAAGATAGATTAAATTACAATACTCATAGATTAAAATCTACAAGAATAAAAGAAAAACAATCTTTTCATTTTTAATCAAAGGTTCTTGTGCTGATCTTCTAAATTCAAATCCATACGGTATATGTGAACAATTAATTGCTCATATCATATGGCAAACATTACAAGCTATTTGTTATCTTCAAGATAGACATATAATGCATCGGTATATTGAATAATCTTTATTCATTTTTAACTCATTAGAAATATCTCTAGTGGTATTGCTTCAAAAAATATATATCTTTGTGGTAATGGTCGTGTTTTATTAGATAATTTTTCTCATTGTATATCAATGATATCACCATATGATGGAAAATTACGAAAACAAATATATGATTATACAGATAAACTTAAAGATCAAGTATTATATTTAGCACCGGAAGTTATTTATCAAGTTTGTTTAAATAACTAGAAAAAAACTAATGTTTTTTTTTTCATTTTCCTATAGCATACAGATGGTTATAATTTTAAAAGTGATATATATAGTTTGGGTATAGTTGCATGTGAACTTGCTAATGGTTGTAATACATATATTAATATGACTTACGAAAATTTAAGTGTACGAAATTCAATAATTTATTCAATAGTATTGTATAGAAATATATATGTTTAGATGTTATATGCTAAAATCCAAGGTTCAGAACCGATGTTACTTGATCAAACACAATTAACAGAAGAAAGTACATATAAAATATTGATTGAATTTATATGCAACTATTTTATCTTTGATGAATTTAGTGATAACACTTAGCGATAATAGTAATAGTTTATATATTGAAGAAATAAAAAAACGAAAATATACCAGAGAATTTCATTCATTTATTAAATCATGTGTATCAACACGTCTTGAATTAAGGTATAAGAAAACAATTTTTATTTGAGAAAAAAAATTTTCTTTTTTATTAGATCTTCATCTGATGAATTACAAATGCATTCATTTTTTAAGTCTCAAAAAAGATTGAATCATGATCAACATTTACTTAATAATGATATGGCTAAATTACTTGAAATTTATAAGAAAAAAGAATCAATTAATACTGAAATAAAAAATATTGACGAACTATTTGGTAAATATAAACATAGTTCATAAAGTAGAATAGCATTGATGTATGTATGTATAATTTGTTAGTAGAACATATAGTATACTGAACGGGGAAATAAACTCGAATAGCTATTTTCCGGTAATCTTGATTTTTTTATTGAAAATATAAATGTTTTTAACAATGATTACGTTGGAGAATAGGGAATTGTTTAGTCGAAGTTTTAATAAATGATTGTTACCTACAGTGAGTACTAAAATTATTCAATAGGATTCATTTTCAGTTTTTTCCGCTTTCATAAGTTATAGAAAGAATCCAAATAGTGATTCGAATAGAGTAAATTGTTTCCAACAAGAATATAAAGAAATAAAAATGATTATCAGATTTGCAAAGAAAACCACTGCAGAAAACCAAAACCTTAGCCTTTCAACACCTAGGGTAGATAAATATAATTTTATTTCGGACTATATAGAACAATAGAGTAAATCATCATCTACAAAAAGTGGCACTGTCGAGTTCTCCGCAACGTTTTTTCGGTGAGATACAAGCCAAAAAATCGTTTTCTATAGGAACTTGAGAAAAAATGACTTCTCCAAGAAAGTATTTTTTTACATCAATGCCATTTAAAATAACATAAAATCGTTGGTCGCCACATTTTCTACGATGTCCTCTGAGAAAGTTAAACGTATTACAAAAACAAAAAAAGAAATTTGTTTTTTGATACATTTCGTTTTTTGTGATATTATTCACTTCTTAAGAAAGGCTGTCGAAAATTCAACGATCTCTAATTGTGTTCTTTAAAATGGCATTATTAACGAATACTTTCTAGCACCTGAAAACTACCATATCCGGCTGCCATCATAGTTCATTGATGAAACCTTGGTAAAAGAAAACGGCTACCATTTAAGCGGTCAGTAAAATTGTGTAAATGAACAGTAATAAAAATATCAGTAAAAAATACTCAATATATCAGTAAGAAAATAATCTTTATCGATGGAAAATAAATCAAGAAACCGCACAATAAATAACTAGAAATTCAAAGTATAATTGAAGAAAAATGGAAATCAAATCATTGAATTAGTAAAGCAGTTTTAACCTTTGCTAGTCTACCTCTTTTTCTTTTCTCGCTAATCGGCATTGTCTTTGCTGTTGCTGGTGCTTTACAGTACTTCAAACGAATAGCCATACCCACAATGTGTTTGCATATATAACTTTTAAGAAAAGCTGGACAGTTGTATTTCAATGTTTTCCAGTGTAAACCATTTTGTATTTTCATACACAAAATATCAAATGATTTCTTGAATTGACTAAAAGTTGTCCATTTCTTGTTATATTTAATTAAGTCAGCTTGTATAGTTGATTTTATGTCACGAGCTGGTATATAATACATTTTCGAGAAGTCATTTGGAATGCAAATGATATCTTTTACTGATTTAGTGTCGGATATTGAGGACCACGACGTTTGAATTAATTGCATCTATAATAACATTTTCTGCCATCTTCTGCACACTTTGTTTAATATTTTGACCACTGATTTCCAACTGATGCTTCACCTTTGTCAGCATGATCAAATGCATCTTTTACGACCCAATATTTTGACTCTTTTTTTGGGATCTTTTATTTCCATTTATTCCATGATCTTTTTCTGTCCTTCTTTATCTGATACATCGCTTTCATATTGAGCAACTTGTACTACCCACGGAAAAAAAAATTTCAAAAAAACCGCGGTAGGCAACGGTATTAAAAACCGCGGTTTTGGCCGGTATTTTCAGATGCTGGGAGTCAGACCATCTGTGCGTTTCTTTGAAACCGCTCAAAACCGCGGTTTTTCAGACAGCGGTTTTTCCCGACACACTAGAGTGAAACAACTCCAGCATGCCGACCATAACCTGAAGCTTTCAGGCATGGTGCCCTTCTAGGGGCAGTGAAGTGAACTCTCTCGAGCTCCATTTTCACAAAGTACCATTGTAGAGTCAGATGAATTATCTGTGTAATGATCGAAAAATTTGGCAGAAAAGTGGGGCACGACATCTTGGCTGTCCTTACACATTACTTTACACTTCGATATGCATGGCGGTTTTTCACAGCAACATCGCGGTTTCCTGAATCGTGGTTCTGTAAGTGGCGAACGCGGTTTTTAAAACCGCGTCTGTCAGCGGTGTGGCACATCACGGTGCGGATACGCGAAACCGCGGTTTCTGAAACCGTTACTAACCGCGATATAGAACACTGAGATTTCGCCACANGTGTTATTAGAAAGTAAAAATTGTTGCATTGTTTTTCAAATTATAGCGTGAAATTGATATATTTCTATTTAAACTTAAAATAGTATTCCAGTATTTGTTTTTTGTTTGTTGCTGTTTATATAGATGGCACTGTAATAAATAGGATTTAATAGAAGCATGTGCCACAGTATTTTTACTTCAGTTTTCATCAGTTCGTTTATCTTTAATAAGAAAAAGAGAACTTTATCTAATCTATAAGTTGATATAGTTTATAAACTTATTACTGAACATGTCCGAAAAAACAAACAGCTTAAAACGGTCCGTGAACGATGATGTGTAAGTCGTGCTGTAAAACGCCCTCTAATTTATCCATATATATGTTGTAAACTGACAGCCGTATACGAAAAACGTCGGGTCTCCGACAAGTCACCGTTTTTTTATCAGCTTGCTGCCGTTTACGGACCGTTCATATTAACCTGAATGTGATCGTTCTGGTTTTCTGGCTGCAAGCACACCTACTATATATACCCACACCCACACCCCTTAATTGATTTTAATCGAGTCCTATTGTAACTACACCATCGCAACTTTAAACATTTTATAAAGGAGTTCCAACTCTACTATATCTGCCCAGCAAATAGCTTTGTGGCAGCTACATGATATGTCAAGATAAGAAATCCAAAAGATCATGAAAAATCCAGAGTTTTGCGTTCGAACCTCGTGAAAAGTGCTTCTCTTCTATGTGAATGATTAAAATCGATTAAGAGGTAAGAGTAAATTAAAATTGATTAACAAGTAAGAATAAATTAACATCGATTAACAAATAAGAATATATTATTCATGCAAGAATAAAGATTAATAATCGGATTAAAGTCGATTATTTTTCGATTAAAAGTTGAAAAACATGGCACTATTTTAATCCGTTTTTGGTTATATTTCTAATTAAAATAATGATTATAATTGATTTTTAGGAATGTAATCGATTATAATTATTATTTTGACTAGACATCGGATGAAAATAGTGCTATTTTTATCGACTTTTAATCCCGAAAAATCGATTAAAATCAGATTTTTGCCTGATTTTCTTTCACGTGGATAGAGATTAGTGACAGTGAAAAGGAAAGAGCAAAGTATATAAAGTGAAACTTTAAAATGTTAAATCCATTACAATAGCGAAAACATCATTCAAACGATGTATTTTCGTTTCTTATTATTCTTCGTTGCTTTCATTTTTGCAGATGTCTCAAAGAAACGTTACGATGGGTCAGTATAAACAATAGTAACTCATATTATCAAATATAATTTTTTCAGAAATATTCTTCTATCTGTAATACTAACTGAAGAAAAACATTACAAATTATTATCATATCTCGAAAATAAAAATGAAGTATAACTTGAACGAAAAACAAAAGGCAATTTTATGAATAGAAAACAATTCTTTTTACATAGATTGACATTTGGAATGAATTACGTCGTAATGGTCCTGTTCATGTCATGTTTGAAAAACTAAAACAATCCCAATTTATGCAACTTTTTGAATCATTAAATATGCAGCCGACAATTTTAATTGACGATGTTCAAAAATAAAAACAAACAAAAAAAATCTATTTTCAACATTGCTACTTTTATCTTTTGTTTTTAATTAGATTACTCGATGGCGAAGAACGACAGCTTCAAGCAGAGGCTCGATTAGGTATAACACGTGGAGTTGAAGATACTTTTTATAACTATGATCAAGTAAAAACTATTTCTTTATAAAAATAAAACATAGTTTTTTGTTGTACAATTAGCTTGTATCTTGGTTACAACAGATGATAGCAACTTATTCAAGCCTTGCAACATTTCAATCCATGGGTAAAACATATGAAAATCGAGATATTTGGCTTGTAAAAGTAGTTGTTTCATACAGCAAAAAAAAGATGATACCTTGTTTTATTTATTGATTGAATATTTAGCTTACTTCTAATAATAGAGCAACAAAAAAAGAGCTTTTATGGACTTCGGCATTCATGCTCGAGAATGGATTTCACCAGCAACTGGTATTTACATGATTAATGAAGTATAATCAAATAAAATTTATATATATATATATTTAAGTAATATTCTTTTTCTATAGTTTTTGACAACATATGCATCAGGCGCTGACGCTAAAACAATTTTAAATGCATGGGAATTACATATAGTTCCTGATCTTAATCCTGATGGTTACGCTTATTCACATTCAAGAGTTTGTTTTAAATTTAAAAGTCGAGAAAAAAGAAAAATTCAATTTTTGAATTTATTTAAAGGATCGGAAGTGGCGCAAAAATCGAAAACCAACTGGTGACGATTGTATTGGTGTTGATCTTAATCGTAACTTTGGTTATAAATGGAATACAGGTGGTAGTTCAGCTAATCCATGTTCTGATCAATTTCATGGTAGTTCAGCAATGAGTGAAAATGAAACTAAAGCACTTCAAAGTTATATGACTGGCAAAATATGGACTACATATCTCACATTTCATTCGTATGGACAATAGTCTTTATTTTATTTTATTTTTTCCTATGATTAAATTAATTAATTGTTTTCTCGCTAGACGGTGGTTTACTGTAAGTTAAAAAAAGTTATCTTTTATAGAAACTATTTTTTTGCTTTTAGAATTGGCAAGTCTGTGAATGATAGGAAAATTGAAAAAATAGAATTCTTTCAGAGGTTATACATCAGATTATCCACCGAATTATACTGAGCTTGCAAGAATTCATTTAAAATTTTATTAAGGCGAATGGTATATTATTTCACTTTTTGAATAGGAACAAAAAGCTAAATTAGGCGCCGATGCTATTCGAAGTGTTAATGGGCGAGTATATAGAATTGGTTCATCAGCAAGATTACTTTGTTAGTCATTAGTTTCTTTATAGATGCAGATTTCAATGTATCGATTTCGGTTTTTTATTTAATAGATGTTGCCAGTGGTAGGAGTGAAGATTGGACATGAGGTACATTAGGAGTCTTATATTCATATTGCATTGAATTACCACCAACAAGTGGTTATGGATTTATTGCACCTACAAGTGATATTAAAGTAACAGGTAATTTAATATTTATATATAATCGATATATTTATTTGTATTTGTATTATTTGTTTAGGTCGCGAAACTTATATCGGTATGGTGGCTTACTTTAAATCATTTTAGTATAATAAACATTTAAAAAAATAGAATATAAAGAAGACGATATAAGTGCTTATTGTATTTTAAAGTGAAGAAAATAATATTAAAAAAAAGACATTGATTCACGGAATTAAGCATAATGAGTTTGTTCTGCTTGAGTTTGAATTTGTTCAATTGTTGATGATTTAATTTGTTGAAGACTATTAATTGGTGCAGGTAAAAATGGAAATTTGTCACGCGTCGTATCATCAATTGTATGATAAGCTTTGTCTAAATAGCAATATGTTCATTGTATAGTTGTATCACGTTGAAAAGTACGTATATAATTAATTTCTTTGTATCACATGTTATTGGTTGTCGTCTACTTGTTAAGAAACGATAATTAAGATCTTTATTAATTGCATTTGCACGATGAAGCACAGTTGAAAATAATCGTGGAATAGCGACACGTCTTAATTCCGAATATAAGTTTGATTCGTGAGAAATATATTGAACGATAATTTAGTTGTTACAGAAGGATGTGGGTATGGGTGTAGGGTTTGGGTGTGTCATTTCACTAAAAACCCACACCCATACCCACAGCCCACACCCATACCCCACACCCACATCCACACCCCACACCTACACCCACACCCACACCCGCATCCACACCCCACACCTACACACACACCCTCTCACACCCACACCCACACCCCACACCCATATTGTAGATTTTTTTAAATTCAAACTTTCTTTTTCTCACTGAGTAACAGGCAAAACCAAATAGCAAAGCTGATTTAATTCAATTGAAAGAGAAGTACTACGTTCTTTCCACGCTTGTCTTCAACATTTGCGATCTAATCTTTTGTTCTTCTCCTTTTTATCATAATTAGACAACAGATCAAAATGAACTCACACAATCCTAAAATTTATTCAGTCGATAACATACTCTTTCAATTCCAAAACTATTATAAGTTACAACAGTTCAATTTATGCTTTTCTTCCCACATAAGTACTCCCTAACGGGCATTTCTCATTCATTTATATTAGAATTTATATCAAATATGGCAATTTTTCTCGATTCCGATAAGTTTTTCCTATCTTCGATCTCATCTATCTACCAACGGTATTATCAGTCAATCGAGTCAAAAAAAGTTCCTGAAAAGACCAGCTCCTCTTTTAGAAAACTTGATTGCAGTAATATTCACGCATATTCTGAAAAGATGCTAAATGCTCCAGTTTTTTGAGTTTCCCTTCTCTCGTTCTTCCGTTTTCATCTTTTTGCGACTAAAAATCAATGGAACTTGAAAAGCGAGATGTATACTTCGAGTTTGACGTCAAAAAAGACTGTCCTCGTGCTAAACATCAAATATATATAGGCAAATCCATTTGGAAAAGGCGAATTTTACCAGAATTTAGAGCCTTTGATGATGTTGTACAAATTTTGAATTATNAGTTATGATATGACTTATAAAAGTTTTAAAAACAAATATTCTACATAATTTTCATAATGCTGCTTGAAACAGTATTTATAGTTTCATGCTCGTCAATCTGAAATATATTTCAAATACACAGAATTATAGAGATTTGTTTGCTCTTCAAAGTTATATGTAGAGTGGTCATATACCATTTAATATATTAAATCTATTAATGCTTTAGTGAGACATGATAATGTAAAACTATGGATGTTTTATATAGCTGCTGCGTGTGAAAGTTCTTTTATTGCCATTTCCTAAAGAAGCTGTATAAAGAATTTGATGATCACACGCAAAAGGTTTTACAAAAAAGGCTCTGAGGCAAGAAAAGAATCTCAAAAACCAGAATATGTAGTTAGTGAGTGTTAATACTAAATAAGTTTTGGCTTTTTTGACTTTTTTAAACACTAGATTGGCTTTTAGTACCATTTTCATTGCTAAAATTGTTTTCTGGAATACATTAAACACGTAAAGTGGCATATGACCACTTTGAAGAGCAAAAACATTTCTATAATTCTGTGTATTTGAAATATATTTCAGATTGACGAGCATGAAACTATAAATACTGTTTCAAGCAGCATTATGAAAATTATGTAGAATATTTGTTTTTAAAACTTTTATAAGTCATATCATAACTCGAATACGAATAACAGTAACATAGAATATGCTCTTAGGCAGTGTGGATAACCGAACGGTATACACATAGTTGGATTAGCTTCTGAATCATTTCTATAAAATTTAGATTCTTGTATAAGAGGACCTACTTAAAAACGTAAAATTCATAGTTGTTCAATTGAATTTTCTCCCACGGTATGCAACAGAATTTGATGATATTATACACCCACCCATTTTTCGGACGATGTTGTTTTGCGAATAACTATCTTATAAAGTTAGCTTTTGAGACGCGGCTTTCGCCAAAATTACAGACAGTTTCTATGCTATATCCACAGAAAATTTCAACCCCAAATGTTGAGTCATAGGTGAACTGAACATATAACAAGGAGCAGTAGTCGTTTTCTGTTGAACAGTTTTTTTGGATGATCTTTCAACCTGAGTTATTGTCTGCTCAAAATGTTCGAAAAGAACTGAATCCATATCGATGGAAAGATATGACAATGAGCTACATTTTGGTAATCAAAAGTTTCTAAAAGCAAAATGTTTATGAAATGAAATGCTTATTTAATGATATACAACTAATAGTGTTCATATGAACACTTTATTATTTTTATATAATGAATAAATTTTCTTTCCAAATATCATATTCGAAAGAACATTATATGCTGCAAATTTTTCAGAAAGTAACCTCTCAAAACTGTAAAAAGTTTTCTGTTAAGGTTTAAATCATCTGCCATCTTATGCAGCGTCTGATGCTCCTTCGAATATGACATTTGAAAAGAAAAATTATTCATCACATAAAAGTTATTAAGAATTCACATGAACAGTGTTAGTTGTCTGTCGTTAAATAAGCATTTCATTTCATAGACGTTTTACTTTTAGAAACTTTTGATTACCAAAATGTAGCGCATTGTTACCGCTTTCCATCGGCATGGATTCAGTCCTTTTCGAACATTTTGAGCAAAAAATAACTCAGGTTAAAAGATCATCCAAAAGAAAACCTGTCCAACAGAAAACGACTACTACTCATTGTTATATGTTCAGTTCCACTATGACTCAACATTTAGGGTTGAAATTTTCTGTAGATATAGCATAGACATGGTCTGTAATTTTGACGCAAGCCGCGTCTCAAAAGCTAACTTTACAAGATAGTTATTTGCAAAACAAAATCGTCCGAAAAATGATGTCCAGTATAGTATGTAACATTGGATAGAGGAAGTGTTCCTCTACAAACCTGCATATATCCCGTTTTCTAGTCAAAGATTGGCATGTAGCTTATGGTTGCCCTTAACCATTTCACCTTCTCTCATTGTTGTATTATATCTCCATCTAATCGTAGATAAACGGCGTTTTGTATATGGTGCTCACAACTCGAATTTCAAGTTGAGTTTTTTTCGGTTCGTTCTCACATAGTTTGAAAGAGTCATCTACTGATCATGACAAAAGAGTTTTTAGTTTCTATGAACGCCTTTTTCAGGTCGCAAAAGGCCATAAATGTGAAGGGCCCTATTTGTTCTTGAAAAACCTGCGCTTTCGAAAATATGCGAAATTTTCTGCTTTACTCTTTCTGTGTGAGACAAAATAACACCATAACGCCATGACATCGGTAGTTATTGCCGTTTCCATGACACGGTGGATAAAAATCTGTTCATCACATTCAAGTTTCGTAATAGTTATAGATTTTGTTTGTGTCCCTTTCCAGTTCTAGCTGTTGGACTCTGACCTTTTTCATGTATCCTCAGGATTAACCGTTGGGAACGTTAACAGTATCATTTTTTTTTTGGTTGACCCATGCATAATAAGTAGCTTTCTGAAGTTGCTATTCGACAACAACATTGAGTTCAATCGATTTTGCCTTAAAAGAATGTAATCTCACTATAGAAACTAACTGAAGCGAGTTTTCAAAATCGATTATTACAGTTCACAGTCACATTAATTAAACTAAGAAAAAAAAATTTCTAAGGGTAAATCGACAGTTGTGAAACGCTTATTAACGCGTTTTTTCCTAGTGAGATATTTTGATTCTGTTGAGTACACGCGTAGAGAACTGAACTATTGTACATTGAGAGGTCTACGAAAGTCACATAATTAAAAGATGAGTCAACGACTTGTGCATGAACTCACATCGTGAATAACGCCTGATTGTAATGTACCAAAAATATCGTTCAGTATTAAGTTAAACATATTCAAATAGTCATATTGAAAGATTACTTATTTGATGACTGAGAAGAGATTTCCCATGTTAAAAAATTTTTGGATTAAGAATCAGATTAAAAATCGATTATAATGATACTATTATAATCTGATTTTTCAGTTTTGAAAGAGAGATTTTATTTGATTTAGATTTTTTTAAACCTGTTTTAACTGATTACTTCAACGGCTATAATAAAGGATTAAAATAGATTTTAAAAAATCCAAATCAAATAAAATCTCTCTTTTAAAGCTGAAAAGTCTCATAAAAGTCAGATTATAATAGTGCCATTATAATTAATTTTTAATTTGATTCTTAATCCGAATTTTTTACATGGGGATCATGATTAGTACCATACAAAGAGTTTTTCAAGTGCTCCCTTGAAAAATAAGAAAACAATAGAGAACAAAAGTCAGGGTGTAGATTTGGGTGTGTGAGTACGGATGTGTGGATGTGGTTCTTTTCTTAGCTCACACCCACACCCTCTATAGTTATCATTGCGAAAATAATGAACAATTCATTTCATCAAGCCTTTCTTTTTTTTAAACTTGAAACAATAAGTCGTATGTTTTATTGCTCGAAGTAAATGAAACCAAAACAAAACTTTTTCATTGATAATACTTTCATACAATATTCTAAAAATTTCCATTGAGATCTTAAACATATTTTCAGCCTAGTTACGTATCAATATATAAGGAAATTGGATGTAGTCAGAAAAACCAAATTTTAGTAAATTAAAATGTTTTTCTTTTTTGTTTCAAACTAGAACGTAGGTGAAGTTAGTTCCATATTCGAGTAAAACCTTCCCATATTCGTCCAGGAACGTGTTCCAAGTGTTTCAACCCGGTTCCAAGTACAACTCGCGGAGCTCTATCTAATAGTAACCTTCGATTTTCCATAGCCCAAACCAATCGCGAGAAAAATCCAAAATATTGCTCTTTTTCTATGCCAAAAGGCAAACCTACTTACCAAAACCTTCCCATATTCGTCCAGGAGCGTGTTCCAAGTGTTCCAGCTCGGTTCCAAGTACAACTCGACGCGCTATATCTAATGGTGACATTGGATCAATCGTAATCCAAACCATTGGTGAGAAAATCCCAAAATAGTACCTTTTCACTATGTGTAGGGTCACTAAAACCTCCCCATATTCGGGTGTGGGTGCGTCGGGTGTGGGTGCGTCGGGTGTGGGTGTGTGGTGTGGGTGTGGGTGTGAGTGTGTGTGTGGGTTGTGTGGGTGTGGGTGTGGGTGTGGGTGTGGTGCGTGTGGGTGTGGGTGTCGGTTTCAACCACACCAACACCCAGTTTGAGATTTCAGGTGATAATATTTCCGTCCTCAGTTAGCAACAATGACTGTTTTCTGAACATTCTATGTAGTAATGTTTTATAAAATGTCAGAAACTCATTCAATAGTCTGGTTTTCACACTAAAAAAGCAACAACTTTGTTAGCACAATTTTCGTAAGCAGTTTTCTCCTTTTATAAATGTAAGTGCTGATGAGACTCGTGTCGCATATATCTTTTATATATAATGCGTGAGAGCACTGGGTCTTGATGAAAAAAAAAATAATTTTCACCAATTGGCGGGGTTCGTGGACTCATACTTAGAAAATGAAGCAAACCGCTGAAACTGATTTACAGGACCAATCAAAAAAGCAACCACTTTCGATAGCTCTAAGTCTTACGGTGGTAAACCATTATTTCACGATTTCTGGAGAAAGCGTATGGACCGTGAACGATCCATATATACTAATTGATAGAACTCATCGAGTTGTACTTGGAACCGGGCTGCAACACTTCGAAAACGTTCCTAGACGCATATGGGAAAGTTTTAGTAAGTAGGTTTGCCTTTTCCCATAGAAAAAGAGCAGTATTTTGGATTTTTCTCACGATTGGTTTGGGCTATGAAAAATCCAAGGTTACCATTAGATAGCGCTCGTCGAGTTCTACTTGGAACCGGGTTGGAACACTTGGAACATGCTCCTGGACGAATATGGGAAGGTTTTAGTGGCCATACTTATAGTGAAAAGGTGCTATTTTGGAATTTTCTCACCAACGGTTTGGACTACGATTGATCCAAGGTCACCATTAGATAGAACTCGTCGAGTTCTACTTGGAACTGGCTTGGAACACTTGGAACACATTCCTGAACGAATATTGGAAGGTTTTAGTAAGTAGGTTTGCCTTTTGGCATAGAAAAAGAGCAGTATTTTGGAATTTTTCTCGCGATTGGTTTGGGCTATGGAAAATCGAAGGTTACCATTAGATAGAGCTCGTCGAGTTGTACTTGGAACCGGGTTGGAACACTTGGAACACGCTCCTGGACGAATATGGGAAGGTTTTACTCGAATATGGAGCTAACTTCGCCTACGTCAAAATAGACAAAGAGTTGCTCAATAATGCGGATGGCAAATGTTGATTCTAAATCAGTTGGATATGATAGTATATCATTATTATGAAAGCAGCATGAATATGAAAAAGTAGCTGCATTTTATATATTTCAAATGAATGTTAATCGTACATTAGAAGTCCTTAATGAGGATCATCAACCAGGTTTTTATTTTAAAGTTTTTCTTTTATTTGAAATTAATTTATAAAAGTATTTCAAGGCGGAGAAGAAGAATTGGCAGCACTAATTCTTGCGCTAGTTGGTTCAATTCGAGCCACGACAACAGCAGATCATGATGGTAAAACATTAATTAATGAATTTCATCAGTAACGATATTGTTTCATCGACGTTATGTTCGAACTATGTTTGGATTCATTCTTACACAAGTTGGAAATGATCTTCAATATGAATGGGTTCTGGTATTAATATTTATTTGTTTGTTTTTTTAATTTTATTTGAAAATTTTTATTTCCTAGGATGAACAACTAGATCTTAATGATAAAGTGACATTTGCTGTCCGATATTTAAATGATCAACGTCGTTATGATAAATTAGATCAATTTGCTGATGAAAGTCGAGAAAAAGGAGATCTTCAAGGAATTCTCCTTGCTGGTTTGTTTTATTAGAAAATTTTTGAACAACATGTTTATTCTTTTTTTATAATTAATTGAAGAAAATCAAAATTCATCAGTTATTAAAAGTCATATCGAACAAGCCAAATGTTACCATCTGAGACATTGAGCATTTGTCGAAATTAGTTCGACAAATTTAAATTTCATAGAGTGAAACGAACCTTCCTTATCACTCAGAAGCAAAAAAAAATGATTTGAACTTTAATGAGAGTCTCAATTTAAAAATATTGTTAGTTCTCATCTTAATTTTACTAAAATATTTTTTAATTCTTAAGTCTTAAAAATAAATCTTTAATATTATAAAGAAATTTGAAATTCTTTTTGTGGATAATATCGAATTATTCACTTGTTAATATTTATCCTTGTTCAATTCTTAATTAGATCCAAACAAGATCAATTATTTTAAATTTCGATTTCCATCAAAAAAAATGTTTTTTGATTCAATTCCGATCAAACAATAAATTGATCTGAGTCCTGGTCATGATTTTGTTCGGATTGAAATCATGTTACTCATATCTACTTTAAACAATATGTTATTGAAGAGCATTCAAGTCTCTACTAACTGATCAGATATTTACGGAGATCATTTTTTCCTAAAAGTCGATTATCTAAAAAGAATTCCAATGACTCGAACTCGGACAACTTTAATTAAATAATGTTAATTCAGTTTCATTGAGAACACCTTTTTTGATTCTCTTCAATAACTTCTAAGTAACTTTGAAAATTGAACAAAAAAATCTATTTTAAAGTCTCACCTTATTATAGAATTAAGACAAAATGGATATTAAGAGTGTGGGCGTTCTGAAAAGAAGAGAAACACCCGCACTTACAGTTATATCTGCAAATCGCCCAGGTCCTCGTCTAGATCTATGGATTGATATAAAATTCGAAATGGACTGATCACTTTGGAGAAGAGTACTAAGTGATTTTCATCATAATAGTCTGTTAGTAGTATGCAACATGAATCATATCCGTATACAAGAATAGACAAGGAATAACGATCTGTCATACGTTCATACACCATTCGATAGAGAAATCAAATAGAGTAATTTTTCATATAGATGGACTAAACGTATGAGCAAATGAACGGAGTATTTTCCATATAAATATTCCGTAATCTTATCCTTTTGAGAACATAAAACATAGATAAATCTTGGTTAGCTTAGTCACTTGTTATACAGTCCCGAATCCATTAAACGGTCTGATTTTATTAGTCAAAAACTTCTGATAGTCAAAATGGTAAAGCAGATAAGATAAAATTGAACTTTATGAGGGAGTAAAGACGAATTGGCTTACACCGAGCTCCTCCTTTCTGTGGACTTGATTATTTTCCAAGGTTTAAGATGATTAACCCTTTGGTTACGGGATTTTTTTAAGATGAATCTTTTTTTTGTTCGTTCTAAAACAGTCTGAAATAATTTTTATTAGTATATAGAATTATTTAGAAGTGTTTTAAAGTATGATAATCCTCAAAACAACCTATCACACAAAGCCCAACGTTACAAACATCACACTGATAACGTGTATTGGTATTCTTTTTCTTGCGTCTGCTTGTATGATCACAAACTATACAAACTCTTCATCCAATGTTTCCTATTGCTGTTGCTGGAACTAGAGAAGGAAAATGACGTGCAGTAAGACGTATGGGATTATCTCCGATAATCGGACGACCAATTGGATGTTTAGGCTCAGCATATCTTTCAATCAATTGCCGGATCAATTCACTTCGAAAATCACCAAATTGAATAGTTTTTTTATGCTTTACTTTGAATAGTATATACGCGTTCAAGGTTGATAAATCCAGCAGATGAAAGAAAAATTTCTTGTACCACTTGACAGTTTTTCGTACGCATTCTATAGAATATACTAGTAAAAGTAGAATGTGAGAAGCAGACATGTCAGAACGCAAGAGAGAGTACATAAATACACACATAGCTATCCGGGGCGATGACGCAATAATGTTACTAAGATAAGGGTAAAAGAAAGGAATCTTTTCGATCGAGTCTAAATAATATTATAATGACGGTAATATCTGCAAAACTTCAAATACCATATATGAGTGATCCGTAATCAAAGGGTTAAAATGAAAACAGCGTAAAACGTTAGCCAGTAGTCTGTTTGATAAGTTGAATTTATTCATTACAGCTGCAAGGATATTTGACCATAAATAATGAATCATATAGATAATTAAACGATAAATCAACAGTGTTCTTTAGGATCGCGTGGGAAAAGCGTTATGCAAATAGTCGTAGAAACAATTATTCGTTTCTCATGAAATATCAATTTATTCAATGATCGAAATTCGTAGCTTCGTGTCCCATTTTACAACCGAGTGAAGCCCGAATGTCATCTAGTTATAAAATTAATTATTTCGTGACTCCTAAATTCAACTGAATTCTTATGTCAGTTGTGACATTTGTGTATCTTTTGTTTTGGAAAGGAACATCATTTTGTGCGATCAATTTTCAACGCTGTGGGTATGAACCAGAGATGAGCACAGGACGGGGCGGTGCGGCCGTCCTGTAGGACAGGACGATACTAAAAATGTTATCCTGTCCTGCTGAGCGGCGGGACAGGATTACACGGTGCGGTGACCAGGGCAGGATGAAACTAAAATTCCGATCCTGTCCTGCTGAGCGGCAGGATGGGAGTTAATAAAGGACAGGACAGGACAGGATGGAAAATCTTGTCCTGTGCTCATCTCTGGTATGAACATATTTTTGGTAAACGATCAATTCGCTTTCTTTTTGTCTCATCGATTGAATATAATTCTATTCACTGTCACAATTGTTTTTCATTGGAAAATGCGTTCATGCTGCAAGACGAACAAGATAGCATCAATCGAACAGCTAAATATAAAAAAAAGAACTATAGTCTGATTAGGTGCTTCTAAAAATGGCCTTCCGTCTCAAGCAAACGAGTTCTGGGCGACTATTTCATCTACCAACAAGAGAAATATTATATTGCATACACATCTCAATGTTCTGGATTATTACGTATATGCGATGCTATTGCCAATAATATACAATGAAATACAGTCAAGAACTATGATTCATTAGTTGATGAAATAAGAAAAAATGAATTCGTCGCGTACCGAAAAATTATCAATTTCGAAGCGTCAAAATTCGGTGACTTGGAATTTTGTCCATTTTGAAAACAAAAAGTACAACTATAAAATAAACCGTTCTTTTTAAATTGTAGAGCATTTCACATTGCATCATATAGTATCTTTTGTTTTTTAATTATAATGTATTAAGTGATTAAAAATTGAAATGGAAAACGAAGTCATTTATTATGCCCCAACCGTTAGAAAAATTCATTTAAAATAATGTTCTGAGTGTACTAGATCGTATAAATATCTTCTACGGTATGCATTTTGAGTGTGCATTATATTTGTTGCTCAATTATTGTCTTAATGAAACTTTCTTCCCACCTCGTTCACTTCGTATTCGATATAGCTTTTAAAGAGCTACAAAATACAATACTTTTTACGATCTAAAAAGTGGATCACGTGACCATATTCTTAATCCATTATGCTTGACGCTCAAGTTTTAACTTTTTCAATTGATATCTGATGGTTTTCAAGCAGAATAATACCAATTCCACTTCAAAAGAATATCATATTTGGAATCAGCGCAAAAAAATGAATTCATCTATTTATGCTTGAAAATTTTTCTGGTCAAATTTTCACTCCTTGACCTTGTCAAGGATATGTAAAAAAATGAATTTGAACAAAATAACTGTATTATTATTTGGTCACCTGTATTTTTGTCTTCAAATAAAATTTTGCAAAGTTAGAACTTGTTTTCCACTGCCGCAACAACTTTTTGATTAAATTCATTTTTCTGTGCGGACTCTAATTATGATAATTGTTCGAAGTGAATTGAGTATGATTCTGCTTGAGAACCGTCGAATGACAGTCAAAAATGTTAAAAATTGGGCCTCAAGAATAATTGATTAAGAATTTTGTTACGTGGATCATATTTTAGATTATAAAAAAAAGTATATTTTGTGGCTCTAGAAAAGCTCTATCGAATACGAAGTTACTTAAGTGGAAGGATGTTTCATTAACACAATAATTGAAAGACTAATGTAGTGCACACTCAAAATGCATGCGATGAAAGACTTTGTACGGTCAAGTAGACTCAAAACATTACTTTTAATGAATAATTCTATTATGAAAGTGTATTTTGAACAAAAGGTCATAAGAATAACTCTTCACCTTTGTTTATTTTCTGTCGAGCAACTGCACACATTCCTGGGTAACATCAATAACTAACTGCTCATTTAGTAGGTTGTGCAGATAGACTCTGTTTAAGCCTTTAATAGAGTCTCAATGCCTTTATTTTAGCATCAAAATGATGAGGAACTCGTAAACTTTCACCTTGCAGGATCGGCTATAGATAACATTGCGATAAAAAAATGAATTATCTCGGCTTCGGTTCAATCAAACAGGCTGAGTTTTTTGTTGATGTTTTTTCCCATAGAGATAAGATAAGCGAAGACTACTACTAATTAATTATTATTATTAGTATCATGAAAGTAATTTTACCTGTTATTAAGTAAGAAAAATATATACGAAGGCTTGCTGAATAATTTTAAGGAAATAGTAATAAGAAAGTAAAAAGAACTTTATGAATGATACTATATTAATGTACATAAAACTGAATTAGAGAATTTGTTAATCTAAAAGTCAACAATTACAACACTGATTTTTGTCAGAAACTTGGTGTTTTGAGTTACTTCAGTGGCGCGTGTTAGTTATGCAACAGGGATTTCAGTTTTTAAAGTGACTAGTAGTTTTGAAAACTTTAGTATTATTCATTAAGATTGTTTTGATTTATTATCGTTATTGTCTTACACAGCAATGCAACGTTTCACATACATTTTTCTTACTTGACAACAGATGAAATTTCTTTAGTGGAAATAAAAATATTACTTGAAAGCAGAATTTTAAGTTGTTTGTATTAAAAAAAAACTGAAAATAAGCGTTTACCACTAAATAAAAAATCAGCCCATTCGAGCGAACCGAAGCAGAAATATTTCAACTTTTCTCATCGAACTATTTATTATGCGCCTTGTATATAGACGACTCAATTAGAGTGTGCCCTGACAATCAAAAAGAGCCGAAATGTGTGCTTTTGTGCGTCCCCGCTCATTTTTTTTATTAATGCTTTATTACAAATGATTAATAGTATAACTGGTTCTTTATATTATTTTGCTTCGGCAGTAAATGTATTTTTAATATATATGAGATGATTATTTATTATCTTTTATTTATAGTCCGTTTTACATTTATACACTTTTATCCTTATGACAGTGACGACAATTTCTTTTTTTTTTTTTTTTTACACACCAGCGACAATGAAGAGCAAGGTGTTCTGGACTATTATGAACATAAAATAAAATTTAAAAGGAAATATGTTTTTTACAATATTATTTTTCATATTTTTTGAAAACTAAACAGTTTCTCTTTATGTTATTAGCTTTTAGTGTTTAAAAAAAAACATTGTATTCATTTTGTCATTGATCGAAATTTAATTTCGGCCATTTTCAGTATTATTTGGTCTAGCAACTGTTGCGACAGTTATAAGATTATTCATAAGTAAGGGCTTTGGTACTGTTGTATAAAAATCTCTTTGAAATTCAATATAATCATGCGTATATTCATTAAATTGATCATAATCAATTCCTTGCATTTCTCCATTCGTACTTGTACGTAATGTTAAACCAGGAATTTTATTGATAATAAGTAAAATAATTAATGTTATTACAAAACTCCAAACAAAAGCGGCAGCTAAAAGAAAAATTTTCATTTTTATCTAAGAAAAAAAAGAGAAACATATTCCTTACATGCAAGTGTTAATTGATAAACTATTTGTATCCAATTACCATCTAACCATCCACCAGCTATATTAACTTCATCAATTGCTGGAATATATTTTTGAGCAAATATACCTGTTAAGAAACATCCAACAAAACCTCCAATTGCATGTTGTGCAAATATATCAAATGCATCATCAATTTTGAAAAGCGTTTTTATTTGTCGACCAAAATATACACTTGCACTGCCACTCATACCAAATATAAGTGAAACTGGTATGCTAACATAACCAGAACCGGGTGTTATACAAACAAGACCAGAAATTGAACCCATACAAAAACCAAATAAAGTAAATTTATATTTTGATGTTGAAAAAAAGTAATCGAGCATACACCATGTAAAACCACCTGTGCAAGCTGCTAAATTTGTAACGACACAAACTAATACAGCACGACTACTTATGATTAATCCACTACCACTATTAAAACCAAACCAACCAAACCAAGATAAAACAGTGCCAATAAATATATTATTTATATTATGTGGTCGATTTTGTTCAATACGAGTAGCTGGCTGACGTTTACCAAGTACCAGACTATAAACAAGAGCTGATGTACCTGCAGTTATATGAACAGGAGCACCACCAGCATAATCTAATGCACCAAGCACATTAGCCCAACCATTTGCTGACCAAGTCCAATACGTTACAAAATTATAAACGAAAGTAGACCATATAAAAACAAAGACAATCGTTGGCCATATACGACCACGTTCAGAGGTTGCTCCTATTACAACTAATATAAATGAAAACTATAAATATATATATATAGGGTGTCCTATAATGATTGTAGATAAATTGCTAATGACATTTTTCATAAAGCCTTCGACTCATTGGAGGATCCACCGTGAGAATTGTTCTTTTTTAAATCGATCGCCTTTAAATTGAGACTCTGTATATAAGAAAGACCCCAGCGAGGTGTAAAAAAAGCCTCAAAAGGATTAGACCACTTGAACCTTCTATTCAGAGTTATAGACATTTTACTAGAATTTTAGCGTCTCGCATTGCATATACCAACAAACCGAATGATGATATTTCGACCAGAGATTCTGTCTATGAATGGGTCTATTGGTCAGTAGAACGTCTTGAAAATGTCAGCTCAAAAGAACGTTTCCTTTCCGACATGCTAGAGTCCCAAAAAATTGATTATTTTACTGACAAATAGACCTGTCCATGGGCAAAATCTCTGCTCGAAATATCATCATTCGATTTGGTATATAAAAAAGTTAGAGGCTAAAATTTTAGTAACATACCTATAACTCTCGATAGAAATTCAAAGTACACGTATCCTTTCGAGATTTTTTATATCACACTAGAGTGTGCCTTATGTACAGAGTCAGAACTCAAAAGCTATTGGTTATTTGAAAATATTGCTTCGTAAGTTCGGTATGAAGAATATTTTGCTTCCGTCATTATAGCGACGTGCCAGTTTCGAGTTTAATCGAAAAATTTTCTTGAGGTTTCCGATATGAAAAAAAAACAGCTCTTATGGTCATAGAATCTAATTAACGCAGTACACATTCACATGGGTCACTCATAAAGAGATCTTTCTAAAATCCTGTTGTGCATTAATTAAAGGATCTCTTCACCGTTGCACTTGCTTGTAGAAATTCAGAAACGTCTTTATAACAAAACAGCGCATTTATAATTGAAAAAAAAACGTATCTTGAGGTACAGACGTAAAGATTTTTTTCTATGAAATATTTCTTTTCACAAAAAGGTCTAAAGACATTATTTCAAACAAGCACACACAAATACTGAATGTGCACTCAACTACTGTTTTTCTTTAAACTATTTCTTCACAAACAACCATTTGCGCATTCCCATGTGAAAGAGTTTTAAGAGGATGATGTAAGATTTTATACGATCATAATTTTAAATGTTAGTTATACTTTTAGATTGCTGCCTTTAAGTAGTTACGTGATTAAATACGCTCTAGCGTACACGCTAGTTTTTTTAGAGTTGAAATTACATCTTCTATGTAGTAGTGCTGATCTACGAAAGAAAGCACTCCACAGATAATTTAATTAAATAGAAGTCAGTTTTCTTTTGTTTAAATTGCTTGTTTTATTATTTTAGATCATTTTAATGAAGTATTCAGCGCAGTTATTTTTTGTGTCGTTTAAACGGATATTTTTTTTTTTCATTTAGTTTTTGTAATTAAATATTCATATGTGAGTAAAGATAAAAGCCTTTATTAAGAAAACAAGATGATAGAAGCCGAAAAATAGAAGAAAACCAGGTATATAGCATAGTAGGAAAACCTGGAAAATCATAAATCAATCTTACAGTACGATTGGCATGTGATCTTTCATGATCATGAAAGATCATACAGTAAATTGCTATATAATCTTGTAAGACTCGTACGAGATCTTATGTGGTACATTTCACTGTGAATGAATTCCATCTATACTATTCAAATCTCACCATGAGAAAATGCCTTAAATAAGTGTCAGAAACAGACATTAATTTTTCTTTTCAGCTATTTAGCTACTGAGGAGGTCAAATGTTCTCCGTGACAGATCTTATCCTTTACAATAAATAGTGTTATTAGACATTGTACTCAGATGTTAGGGTATGTTAACTTCATTGTTCAAAGAACACTCTTCTTACCAAGGATCATCTCCTTTTCTTTAAAGGATATTATCTGTCTCCTTCTCATTTTACGCATGTAAGATTAGTGAAATATACTCGTTTACTGACGATGTATTAAGCAAAACTAAATTGATACTAAGAATTGTTCGCGAGACTACCAAAAAAAATGATGACTCTTTTTGAAGAACTTATTAAAAGGTTCCGGTTCTTCTAATGTGTCGAGTGTTTTACTTTTTCTTGATGTAGAAGGCCGAAATTTTTGTCACATATATATCTTATTTTAAACGTCTACCGGTTATGAAAACAGAAAAGATCGTAAATGGTTTTTATTAAATTTCAATCATGTCAAAACAGTATGCAATATTGGTCATACAGCTTGTAGCATAATTATTTAATGAGCATATAGAATCAGTAGCTAGCGATGGTAAGTTTTCTGATGTATGAAGAATTGAGAATGTGTATGAGGAAATTTTTGAAAGAAAAATGTGCAAAAATGATAGACGAAATACCTTATCAATTACAACTGTTCCTACACATTGAGTGTTATTATAATTTATATTTTTAAAAATAATTGCTCTAGTAAAATTTATTTCCGTCAAATGTTTCTAAATATCACTGGTCAAGAAATAAACATGTCACAAAAAACCAAGTACGAAAATTCATGTATGTTAATCTGTTCCATGTTTTTAAGCATTAGTTATTACTAGAGAGTTGAAACTATGGAAAATTAAAGATCCTGGTTAGGTATGTACATGATAAAAATTTCAGCCTTCTACGTCAAGAAAAAATATATTTATAGCTTATCCTCAGTTATTATGATGCAATCTTTATATATATATATTTAAATTCAATTTTTATATACTTGTTGTTGCTGTTATGGCAAACATAAGTTGAAAAATATAAAATGCAATATGAGGTATTTTGGCTGGACCAAACGTCGGTTCATTGAGAACATTCATTGTTACAATATGAGCAAAATTGCCAATAAATCGTGATCCTGATTGACTGAAACTCAGTGAATAACCAATTAAAAACCACTAAAAATATGAATAAGAGAAAAACTATTTATTTTTAATATTCGAATTAAATATTTGAAGTTATCTAAAGCGGCATAAACCAATTAATTTACAAACTTGAAATGAGATAACAGCTGTTGTCATTAAACTTAACCATAAGAGTGACAGAGCACTCTTACGTTTAGTCATGCCAGAATAAAATAAACCAATACCAGGAATCATAATCCAAACGAGTGCCGCTGAAATTAACACCCATGTTAAACTAGCACTATCGACTAGAAATAAACAGAAAAATATGAATTCATAATGCAATCAAACGTTTAGAATAACTTTTCAGTTCTATTACTGAATATTTAATATACAATAAATTGAACTATCAACAGGTATTTCGTAAATTGAAATATTTTCATTTGATAGATTATAATTAATTCTATATTTATAACTATATAGGCATATTATGAAAAAAGCTGTTAACAAAATCTCTGAAGATTAAAATGTAAAACACACTGCAGATGATTTTGCTAATTACAGAGAAATTGTTTTATCATCCCCATTTTGGCAACATATTGATTCATTATCCTTTTACTTAATCCTTCAAAAATGGAATAAGAAAGTAGTTCATTTATCAGAATGAGATGTTATTAATAGTCTTTGATTGTATTATGAACAACATCTGTCACAGTCTATGGGAGAGTTCGAATTTCTACCTCTGCACTTGCACACTTCTTTAGATCGTGTTTCATAAAAGCAACTTTTCAGTCGGATTAAAATAGCTTTTATAATTTTTTTAATAATTTATAAAACTTGATATTCCGTTAGTTAGCAATTGTTTGCTAAATTATAAAATACTCAGCAGTATTCCATATGACTGATATAAATAATTGCCTTCTCGAGACGAATTATGTCAATTAAAATTATAAAATGACTGTGAAAGACTACTCTATTTATGAAAATTTTTAAATTTATTACGAATAACCGTTGAGTATGATAGTGGATGTAAATAAAAAGAATTTTCTTTATATGATTAGACTAGAAAATTAAAACTACTTTTAATATACAATATTAAACTCCAAGTATTGTTGTTCGGTTCACAAGATTTTACATTACCCAAACAAAGTAGCACAAACAACTTACCATTCATAGCCATTGTATTCACTGCATGAAAAACAGACCAGTAAATAAAATAATTATAGTATGAAGAAAATTAATCTGGAATGCGAAGTAAAGTCTCTTATCTCATTGAAAATTCTTTGAAAGACAACTCATTTATTTATTGAATAGATTTTTTTCATTAAAGAACAATTTAAAAGTCTCTTTTGTCTAGTATACTTAGATAAATTGCCATCGGAATAAAGATTATTCTAAATGTTTTCTTTCCATTGATAACTGAATCATTTTGAAATACATTTGCGAATTTGTTTCAAAGGAAAGTTTAAGTTAGAAAACAATACACCTATGTTTTTATGTATATAATATACTTTTGCTAATATAAGAAAAAAAATTCAAAGTAAATAAATCTGCGCAAAATGAAAAGAAATAAAGAACACGAAGAAGAAAAAGCCTTTGATTATTTATTTATTAAAGAATTAAAACCTAATTCATCACATTAAAATGTAACATCAAAGAAATATATATTCAGAGTTATAATTAATTCTATACAAAGAAAATGATTCATTAAAACATTTATCATCCAAAATCTAGAATGTAAATATTAAAAATACAACAAAAGAGATACTGTACATTGATAAGTGTCGTTCGACCTATTTAAATCAACTCTTTGACGTATAGATCTTTTACAAATCATTTTAGGTCTTGTTCTATTAAACAAGAAGTCTCTATTGAATTTAAAAATGTTATGAACTATATTGAAATAAATATTAAAAACGAATAATGTTGTAGAGAATGACAATGGTGTCAAAAGAATAGTTCTACTAAAATAGAAGTCCATTTGAGTTATTATTAACGGATGAACTAGTATAAATATCAGCACTTTATACTTTACTTTTTTTTCATCATCTAATACGTTTTATCAAAAAACAAAATATATCAAAAACTACAGTGTGAAGAGTTCTACAACACAATACTTACTTGGTATCTACGTCTCAGTAGAAATTAAAATTTTAATCTCCACTATAGGAGAATTTAAATATGATATGCAAAAATCACATGCATGATTGATTAGTACAGTAGACAATACCACAAAACCGTGTCGAATATGTCAAAAAGAGTTTACATCCAGATATTTGAACTGCATTTCTTTTTAGTAGAATGATATTTTGTACTATATGGTACTTTAGTTACTTTGTATGAACACTTTTTTTTAGTATAACTACCATTACATACACAAGTTTCTACAACTGAATTGACCCTGCTACTACAATAATCTTTACAAGCTTGTATGAATGTTTTTGTTGACAATGTTTGATGATGATTAACACGCAATTCCGAAAAAATACATTGTTTAAAAATCTATTGGATTATTAACACCATATCTTGAATATATAACACATTTTGTTGTTCAAAGATGATAGATATTTATATTATTAGATGATAATTGTATTGAAATAACTTTACATGGTAAAGTTTTTGAATGTCATACTAGTTGTATCAACTTTATGAATTTTTAAGCCAGTTAAATCGCCAAACTTTTGCCTTAAACATCTTATATATTGATAAAGTTTGCAACAACATAGCTCCATTTCGTATTAGGTTATAATATCTTTTTTTTGCTAGCGTTAGAAGAACTTTAGGTTAAACATATAAACTCTTTTCTTTCTTGTTACATATCATCATCCGTCTAAACATGTAATTCAATTTCTACTATCGAGGAAATTAAAATACTGTCATATCCAAGTCGATGATTCCGGTGCCCGAATACGTAAATTTACGGTGAGAGCTCGCAGGAAAGACATCGTTTGTGGGGTTTTCCGGTCGGAACAGGTTGTTCCTCATTCACCTCGGTAATATTTATTTCTAACAGAACTTAAAATTCTCTTGCCTACTGCTACATATGCAACGCTAGATTTCAAAATAGGCAAAACTCTTTGTGACTAAATTTTGATAGTGCGATTATTTTTTTTACTCTGATGCTATTTGTTAGAGGGATAGGCGAACGTTATACTAACAAGTCACATCTGTGTTACGATGTCAGTTTATAAAAAGAAATAAAATCTGAAAAACTACGAAAAAGTAGTTATGCGAATGATTAATGATGACATGGCATTGGTTCAAATTACTAAACAATTACGAAAATAGGTCACTTAAGTAAAGTTAAAAACTATAATTCCTTCGTTGAGGGTTTAGTTGAAATATATTTTATTTTTAATAAAACGTATTCGATGATGAAAAAACTAAAATATAACACTTAACCATTTGTTGCGGCCGAGTCGTTATTATGATAAACATTTTTTTACGTTTATGTTAACTTAATAAAATTTACACCGTTTTGTTTTTAAACTGTGAGTGCAATAAAAAATATCAGATAAAATGACATTAAAGTATCTTGCCAGTTACATCTTATTAATATTCATATGTACACATTTTTCATTTGATAGATGTTTCTTGTTTAGCTGTTAATAGAGAGAGTTAGAACTAAACAATGAGATGCAATAAACTAATCTATTTAATTATTTTTGTTTTGCGTACTTCGAGTCAAGATACACTTGTATTTTGTGAAAAAACGATTTTTGTCGTTGTTAGAAAGTTCTAATTTGTAACATTTACATTCTTATTTTCTTGTAATATATTTCGATGGAAAAAAAAATCAACTTCCTTTTCTTAATAGTCATACTCTTTGTATGGTTGACAAGACCTCACAGTACCTAACATGACCACTTTATGTAACTTTCTAAGTTGATTACTATAATACACGTTTTTTTAACTTTTTTCTTATGGAGTATCATTGTCATAAGTATGGAAAAAGTATAATGATTGTTAAATTAATACGGATTGTGGTCAGAATGATCTTTCATGGAAATAGTTTAAAATAATGAGCTTCTGTAAAGACATATTACTTTGTGGCAGTTTAAATAGATAATCTATAAATATTAGAAAATTATGGCCTTTTAATTTGCGTAGTTCAATTTACTATGTTTTCAGGAGATGCAACGAACAAAGATAAACTATTCTCACTTGTAGGAATCCAAAAATTGTTGCCTAAAAAAGAATAAGATGAAGATTTATAAAGATTCAAAACTCATATGTAGAAAACAAGAAGATATTGAAAGTACGAAAAATAAGATCTGGTTTGACATATGTCAAAAAGCTTTTTAAATCTTCAAATTGAAAATCTTGCTTTTGATGGACAAAATGCATCAAGACGCTTTCAAATTTCCAAAAAAGTAAATTTGACAACTTATGAAAATTTCACACATAGCACATATATTATAACGCGACGCTAGTGATATACGGTCTTTGAATATATTTGAATGTCGTCTGTTATGACCTGCGAAATGAGAAGGAGGGAAGTGAGTCTGAGTTTTTACTGCTATACTTCAATACTCTTTTTAGATTGTGTTTCATAGAATTAAAACGAACAACACGAAGATTATTAAGACATTTTTGAAGACGTTGGTATACGAGAAAATCTTTCATGCCCAACGTCGACCAATTCTAGGAAATTAAAAAACTCCTAAAATTTCTTTATAATTTTCGAAACTTCCAAGTTCTCAATTAATCAATATTATAAAGGCTAGGATCTTCTTCTTCTTCTTCTAACGAAAATACATGGATATTCATGTGAAACACATATAATAATTACTGTATTTACTGAAATTTAGTCGATGATTGGCGTGAAACTTATTTTTAGAAATTTCGTCTTCGTGGAATCGTCTGTTATCGAAATTATCTAGAAACTGCTTACAAGGAAACTATCAGAATTAATATTCATCGTTTGAGTCCATATTAGATTCATGAGAAAATCTCAATAAGACTAGAAAAACCCTAAAAAGATTCATGTCTATGGGTTTCTGAAGCTGAGTTATGACCGTTTCATTGAATTTTCGATCCAGCTTTAGGTATTTACAGCAAAACCAAATAGCGATATTCTATCTGAAATTTCATCCAAAAATAGGTCTAGTGATTAGCAGAATATTTATTTGTCAAGATATTAATTAAATTTCTAAGAATAGTTTTTTGCTACAAAAATTGTTATGTTTTTAATAAAAATCAATTTCAATACAAAAATGTATTTTCATCAATGAAAATTATCTTTGTTAATTTGAGCGTGATACACAGGTAACAAGCCTAATTTATGACATTGTGATGCTCTTTTGACTTTATTTATCTAAAGATATTTTCATCATGATCCATAATATCCTTAAACTTCAGTAAAGAAAAGAAAAAAAATTGTTCCACAATGCGTTCTCATTTGTTTTTTCGCTAAAAAACAACTCATCTTTTATAGATGGAAAAAATGAAACCTTCTCTTTTCACTTAACTTATCACAATTTGTTCACTTTATTAGCTTAATAAAAATTGCGAGAAAATATAAAATATATTACAGCATATAGTGCAGTAACTTTGAACAGAAAATTCAATCTTGATTAGAACCTTTTTTGTTCTTTACTACTTAGGGCATACCAAAAGTAACGACATTTTCAAGAAACAAATTTCAGATTTTATTTCTTTAAATATTGACAGTAGTTTTCCTGATTATTTACATGCAATTGAATTCCTTCAAATTACTTGTGGATAGTTCTTTTTTAATAATTATCTTTCCTAATCGAGTTGATGCTCTTGGTTACAATGCGGTTCAGAGATTGTGCGTTGCTGTAATTAGTTAAATTCTATGTGATCAGATCGAATAAACAAAATTCATTTAGTGTCAAGTCTAGAGAATTCGGTGATTGCTGAATGGGTTTGACAGCTTTCGATTAAAAATAGCTAAAAACATATTTATGTGTATGTGATTTGACGTTGTCGTGATGAAGTTTTGTGGTATGTGCATCAGATATTGATTTTATCTAGCAAATTTCCTCGGGTATAAGCTTCAAGCAATTATCGACATAATAGTCGATGGCCGGGGATCTCTACTTGATCAACCTGATGAATTAACACTTGATCGGTAATTTTGCCAAAAATATAAAAAAGAGTTTTTTTGAGGAAAGTTACTGCATCGCATAATGGTAGACAGAGTTTCTTCAGCTGATGTCCATGCAGAATTCGATAACTTTCAGTCATCTTATCTATGGTAAATCCATGACTCTTTATCTCTCACTATGTCACAAAATCACTATGTTCCTTGCTGGAGTTTTTCAAAATTTTCTTGACAAAACCGAACCCGTGCGATCTAGTAGTGAGTATCTGTCAGCAATCTGGGTTATTCCGAGAGAGTGGCCATGTCTTTTTAGTTTCAGGTATTCAGAAATAATCCGTTCAAATGTAGCATGACTTATAGCAGTCTCTATTTGTATTTCATCAATCGCAAGATGGGGTTCGTCGTCGGTGAGCCAGTGAACTTCTTCAATAGTTTCAGACATTGTATCGGTTACAGGTCGAACAAGTCATGGCTAAAGCTTCAGTCTCTTCTTGCTCTTTCCGAAACTGTTTTCATCATTTGGCAACTGTATTATATGATGACGCTTGGCCGCCTAAGACAATATAATTCACCATGATTTAACTTTGGTTGACTGTTAAGTGCAGTATGCACCCTAAGGCAGCAACGAAAATTTGCCCTATCCGACTAAAATTAATGATGCATTGCTTTCATTAAAATTTTTCATATGATAATATCACTTGACTAATATTACTATTATACAAACACGTAGAGCACCTTTAGTGCTACGTATATGTATCAACAGAATTTTGTCTCAAGCATCTCGTACTTTTATATAAAATCAATCTCGATACTTTTGCTATGCCATAAGTATATGTTTATATATTTCGATTATAGAGAAAGAAGGTCATCATTTTATAGTCTGGACCAGTTATAATATCCATAAGCGTCATAGGTAATACTATTTTAACGATTGATATATGATATCGTCATATTTCATGTAGATGTCCAATGGTAGGTAGATAAAATACAGAAAAAAAAACTTGTTGCGTTTTCTCAAAAGCGATTTATGTGTCAGTGATTAATCTTCATACTTATTCATCTTCAATATGTTATATTCTAGAAAACTACTGTCTTTCTAATTATTGCGCACTTGATACTCCTCCAGATGAAGAGAAGATTTTTTATAAGGCTCTAACTCTATAACACACCCCCATAGATCGTGACAGACATTTTTCATATATGATCAAAGACTGTTTATCAATAATGCCTGGCTGCAATACATCAAGTACTTCCTTATGATATTTCTGGAGGATTAAGAAAAAGGATTGTGAGGAAATATGTCCCGAAATAGATAGAGCAAAACAATCTCCTTATGATTAGTAACAGCAGCTACATCATGTTTTGCATTTTTGATCCCCTCAAGGATTACACTAAAAGCTCTTTAGGCAGGGGTCCCTTTAGGAATACATCTCTAGTATAAAAAATACTGAATTGAATATTTGCATATCTGGAAATTTTATTAGAACTAAGTAATAAAAATTCTTCCATAGATTGTCAATTTCTACAAATAAAAAATAACAATTTAACTACAATCTTTCTAACAAATATATTCGTTCTTAGGAGATGAAACACACAATGTATCACTTTGTTTATTAAAATATATGAAACTAGTTTTATTACTCAAAAGAATTATCATATCTTCAATGATAGTTACTTACCGTTTAGGAATTCATAGGTCGCTGTGTACATTTTAAACATGAAAATTCAAAATTGCTTCATAAAATGTCCTCATCATCAATAATTGCCTGCTTTTTTTATAAATACATTTAATGGCAAGTTTCCATAGTGTCTATTTCTATTAGTTTTCTCTTTGCATACACAAAAGTGTTTTCTCAAATGTTGAATTTAAGTGTTTACCTGAACTATTACTTTTATAAAAACATCTTTTCATTTCTGATTTTTATTTTAATGATGTTCAAGTGCACCGTATGACATAATAAAATATGTGCGTGTGTACATAAGAAAAAAAATTTGAAATGAAAAGGTTAGTAACTAAATCTACAAGAATGAGAATTAGTAGGATGAGATTCGTGTGTTTTTTTTTCTTTGCATTGTTACACGAAACAAATAATATATAAAAACGAATTTTTTTAATCTCGTTTCTTTCCATCAAGTCCTTTCATTTGTCCATCAGCAGTACTTGTTTCTTTTTTCGAACCGATCAATGTTGTTGTTGCAGTAAGTGGTGTAAGAGCAGCCGGTATTATTGTTGCTTGTTGCGGTGTTGATGTATTTGTTGTACTTGTCGACGACGAACCAACTGTTGCACGTCGATATGCATCAGACTAAATATAAAAAAATTATGAATTCAACAGCATAAAAACAACAACTCAAATAATAATAATAATAATTACAATTGTTTCGGACCAACTATTGAATAATAAACCAGATGAAAGATTTTCAAATGGCATTAAAGGATCATATTGTTTAAAAAATATTGTAATTACGCGTACATATATAAACATTGAAGCAACACATAAATAAATTAATTCACGTTCAAATTGAATTACACGAATGTGTTCAAGTAAAAAGATTGTTGCAGAAATAAAACAAGCTTTTGTTGCACTAAAATCACAAAAATAAATATTAGAAGATTTGAAAATAATTATGCAAATATAGAAATTAATGTAAATCTTTTAATATATCATCGGTTCGTTATTGAATGTTAGAGAAAAAATCTTCTATTCGATTATTTAGCTTTTGAAAAGAGTTTACACTCAATTAATTGATAATCGTTTTAATTTTTGAAAGCTTCGTTTGCTCTTAGATTGTTATCTATCTAGCTGTCGTGCCAGACCTATTAATAGCATTAGTGTAAACAATGAGTATTTATTATTATAACGGAAGGATGTCAAGAAATCACAATGTTACAATCAGACTAAACTCAAATAAAATTATAGAAAATTTGTGATCATATCAAAGTTAATATATAATATAAATTGAAGGATGATTGGAAATTGTTTACCTAACATTATTGAAATTAAAAAAAAAAGAATGTACATATTTCCACATAGATGATACATGAAGAATAAAACAACTCAAGATTATTTAGTAACTTAGATCACAGTTTGAAGTCAATTAGAATTTAAACGATATAAAAACTTTTTGTTAGTCTTAAAATAATATATCTTTGCAGATTTTTGTGACGCATTCTATTATACCCTTTTACCAGTAAATATGGCAATATGTATATTGACCTTTTCGATAGTAACAGCTTGTCTATCTTAATACAGTCAAAACTACTGACGACTATATTATTTAATATTATATTTTTAATTTAAAAACTTCTTGAAATTGCCTAGGAATCTTATTTTATCTATTTAATTTCCTTTCTCAAAGGATAACTATAACACAATAAAAACAGAAAAACTGAATTAGTCGAAAATTTGCTTTTCTCTTACAAAGATGGAAAAAGAAATTCATGTTGCGTAGGTAACCAAAGACCTCGAATAAATCGGTCAATTGATGACATTACTGATCCACCACAGCCTAAAGAAAAAGATAAAATTATTCAATTAATCTAATTTCAATATGTGCCATTGCTTTTCTTTCTTATTCTTGACCTTTTATAGCTCCGATAGTAACAACAATAATATAACCATCAGGATAAATAGCTAATGTCGAATGAATTCCATCGAAAATTTTTTTTGTTCGTTGAATTTCTTTTCCCACACCAACACATATCCGTACAGGTACAAATCGTAATAAACGTGCTATTATATCAAATGGTGAATAAAATACAAGATACCAACATAAAGTCGCAAGTAAAAGATGTTGATGTTGAGCAAAATCTTTTATTGGACTTTCACCAAGTAAGAAATTAGATAAAATTGAACCAGAAAAACAAAGTAACATTGTTGATAACCAACATGATAAGGGATGACGACGTGTAAAATTTTGTGTTGCTAAAGAATCGAAAACTATACTCAAAAAAAGCAAATAGATATTGGATTTTTAATAAGCCATTTAGAATTGATGACAAGACAAAAGTTTTATCATTATTAATTTCTTCCTTGAAAAATGTTTTAAACTTAGATTATTTGAAATAGCCTATGAAATAATTTTGATGAATGTTACCTGTTTGATGTTGTTGTATATCATCCCGAACTTGTAATGCTGTTAACAAATAATGGCATGTATCAAGAAGTGGATACATACGTATATGTGCCAACTGTGAGCTGACATCGATTAATACTTCTTTATTCATCTTAATATACTTTTTTTTGTTTTACACGTCACCGGCTCATTCAATTACAAAGAGAAACAAAGAAAAAAATTAAAATAAATCTAAAAATAAAATAAACGATTTACTATATGATGGAATTAAACTATTGAATGATATCTAAATTCAGATATGAAAGATATTTTTTTTAACGATGTCACATTGGAATATAAAATCAATTGAGTTTCATTTATGTTTATCAGAGTGCTTGACAAAAGACCTTCTAATGTTTAATAATTAATGTTAATGATGATGGTTGTTCCTAATGTGATGATAATAGAAAAAAAAATTATTTAAAAAGCGACGCATTAGAATAGACATTACCTAAAACTACTTATGTGTTCATAAACAAATAGAACAAATAATATTGAAACTTCTTCAGATTTTTCGTTGAAAATAAAAATGATTATTGACAATTGAAATTATGGAATACATTGGATATATTTGAGAAAATAATCTTGATATACTTGTGTTTAAATACAAATAATTTGTAATAATCGTTGTTTTGTCATTTGAAAAACCGAAAGCAGTTGTTAAAAATATTTTTGTTGATAATTCAATTACATGCTTAAATAAAGGTCATTCATGCATTTATGAAAAATGAACAAATAATTTGTCATTTTCTATTCTAGTAGTAACAAAACAATAAACGAAGTATCTGTTGGTTATCGTCGCCGTATTTACTGATGTGTGTTAGTAGCGACCATTATTATCTTTCTTCTACTTGGGGTACGGTGATTATTGGTGCGACATGTAGAAGGAAAAAAACGGAAGAAGAATATCAAGAAGTAAACAAAACAACGAAGGAAAGAAAATTCCTTTTTTCCCTGTTATGTTGATATCGTCGTTGTTGATGACAAAAAAAAGAGAAACCGCAAAAAACAACAAGATCATACATATATATATATATATATAATAAGAGAATTGTTGTAGCTTCGATAAATGTTAAGACGAAAGATGGAGTAACAAGAAACACAGATACACAATCAATGAATATATATCGAGCCCAAAGGCATTATAATAGAAAAGAAAAAAAAAAGAGAAGAAAAAGAAGCGTCTCATATTACTGAATAATTGTCAATGAAGCAAAAACGAATATGTCGTGTTGTTATTCTAAAGAAGATATTTTTTGTTCATAAATGAATTAATACTTGGAAGAGTATTTGTTTCAATAAGATCATCATTATCGTAATGAAATGTACTTGTTGGTGATAATATATCTTCTTGTTTAAATAATGAATTTGTTAAGTTTATAGAATTACTTATTGATGGAAGAACACTACGCATTTGATATGTTAATATATCAACATTAATATCTTGTAAATCTTGTGGATGACATTTTATTGTTGATTGTTGATCAGACTTAAAAGAAAAAAAAAGTTTTCTTTGTTTTTGAAAGAACAAAAGAAATACATTTCTAACTGATATTGTTTGTTCAATTAATGAATTTGATTCTGATGGTTGAATAAGTATTTCATCATTTTTTTGTTGTTGAAGTTTTTTTGGTGGTCTGCCAACAGGTCGTTTTGGACCATTATTATTGATTGTTTGATTACGACGTCGTGTTGTTTTATTTAATAATGAACTATTTGAATTATCATCATTTGATGACCATGTTTGATGAGAATTATATGTTAGAAGATTTGGAGAATCTTATGAGAAATTTAAAAAAATATGTTCGAATCAGAATAAAAGATTATTGATATTACTAAATGTAGTTGATGAATCATGTGGAGTAAATTGAAGATAAACAGGATTAGATGTTTGTGGTATAGAATTTATTGATGATGTATTACCAACTAGAAAAACATATACAGTAGATAATTAGTATTAATAAAAAAACAAATCATGATATTTTACATCCAATTGATGGAACAAGAATACTTCTATATTGATTATCAATATCGTTATATTTTGAATATTTTCTTTTTTCTGAATGAAAAGAATTTTGAATGGATATTTAATATAGAATTTTATTTACTTGATTCAGGAATATAGGATGTTGAATGTTGTGTTGTTAGTGAATTTTCACTGCTAGTTGGATGTTGAATATCATCATCTGGGATGGAATTTACTGCAAAATAAATCAGTTATTTAGATTTTGAATATTTAAAACGTATTTTCATTATCGTGAGAAGGCTTCAGATTTTTTTCTGGTTATATTACTACGTTTAATCAGTTTTGATCGTTTATTTCAGATATACACTCACATTATTAATCAAAATATTAATTTAGACCGAACGACAAAGTTATTTATAGTATGTCAATATGAGAAAGTAAAATAAATTATTTGATTTCATCTGTGTATTCAATACATCGTTATATAAACAGCACGTGTGATCATGAATAATACAAGAAATATTCTTTCTTTTTCAATTCGTTTTATTTCAATAAATCATATAAGTGATGTAAAGGGGACGTTTGTGTTTGACTTGCTATATTTTGTTTTTCAAATTAGCAATGCTCACAAAAATAAAATATTTCATTATCTCAAACTATAGATGTGCAAGGTAAACTTTTTTCTTGCCCTAACTGAGAAAAAATTTCAAATCGTTACTCTATCCTATAGAGTTTGTCAGGCCTAACATTTTCGGATCCGGATACACTCGAGATCGTCCCGACGGACTCTAAACACCATCCTTACCCTTGCACATGTCTATCTGAGTCTGAGTTACAAAATGAATGTCTCAAATAAACGAATACGTTTAATTAAAGATTCCAAATGAAAACACTTCTAATAATTTTGATGATTATATTTCTTTTAGAATAAGATCCTGTAAAAACTTGACTTAGGATTTAATTAATAATTTCGAACTTATGAATAAATGTTTGAACTTTACCTCCTCCAACATTATTGGAATAAACTCCAGTAACTGTAACACCAGAACTACTTCGACCATTCATATCTAATGCACTTTTCAGACCAAGTAAACCATTTCTTGGATCAAATCTTGGAATAGTACAATTAAGAAAAAGATTTCGTTTAAAATGATCAAATAATGAATGTTTTGAATTTGATTTTGTATTTTCTGAATTAATAAAATCAACAACATCTAAGTTTTAAAAAATAGAAGCATTATTTCATATATATATAATGATCCTACTTTCTGCGTGATGAATAATTTCAGTTCGAGGTCCAATATACTGAAAAGCAGGTCGAGGACCACGATAACTTGGATCTGTTACTTTTGTTATTAAATTAATTGTTGATAAAACATTTGCAATATCATATAATCGTCGAACTTTTGCTATTAACAAAACAATTAATTTAATGAAATAAAAAAAAAAGAACAACAACAAATTCTAACAGTAAACCAATATGCAAAATAAACTATATTTTAAAAAATGATTACTCTTATAACGACCAAATTCAGTTATTTCATTTTTCGAATCACCCAATAAGACTTTAGCCGCAAAGATAATATTGACAATTCGATCCTTTTTTATTATTATTATTTTTATATTAATTTACATAAATAATTCAAAATCAAAAAGAAAAACTTAAACTGAATTTTTCACTTACATCAGATGTAAGAAAAAGCATAAGAAATTTTTGTGCCATTATACCCAATGCTTTTTCTTCACGAGCAACTAGCAAAAAGAAAAAAAACAGAACGAATAGTTTTTATTTGAAGAATTTATTTCGTTTTTTTTCTCTACCTTCATCATTTTCTGATGATGAAACATTTTTACCAGTCGAGACGATTTGTATACATTTAAGTGCTTCATTTTGTGTTCCTTGACCAGTATTCAATTGACCGGATAGAACCATTTGATCGATTTGTTCACGAATTGAACGAGCAAATTCAACAAAACCAGATTTATATGCTAACGTCTATTAAATTAAGATGGGAACATTTTTTTCACCGTATTTTTTTGCAATATTAGAATTAGAGATGGGATAAACACCGATTGTTCAAAACTTAAACCGAGCCAAAACATAAGCTGATTTGAGATACTGCGAACCAAATAGATCACATCTCGAAAATGAACAACGTTTTTGTAGCGAAATTAAGGAAGGCTAGGTTTAAAAAATTAGAAAAATCTGTAACAATTGAAATAGTCATAAGTCTAAAGTCTCGATTGTCTAAATACTTATTCAGCTTTTTTTATCGTATTCATTATATGGTTAACAAAAAGAAGTTATATATTATTTTTAAGAAATATTGTTTCATTATTGAGAAAATTTATTGTTTCGTTATCACAGTAAATCACTATAAATACGAAACTTTTATTCAGAAAATTTGACCATCAGAACTCTAGTTCTGAATAAAACAAACATCCTATTGAGAATAATCATAAACAAAATGTTTGTTCACTTTAAACCCGCTAGAAAGCGTGATTGAGTAAAAGTTTAAAGAATTAGTTTAAACGGAAAAATTCTGTATTTTTACTATTGTGATTCAGAACTAAAATTTGGCATTTTTGTTCATATACGAGCTTCTAGGTCAAAAGCTACTCTACAAAATGCACAATTATTTGTCTTTCGACAAGGCATCTCGACTTTCGTTTATTCGAAATACTCGTTTGGAAAAGTCGACAACCATTTTACGTTGAAAGAAACTCTTGAAAAAAATACTTGGATAAAAACTACAACTTAGTGCAATATCACATTTTGTGGAGAAGTGTCCATTATATAAAACGATTGATTCCTACAATTTTTAGTAAATTCCTAAAGGGGCTTATAGGATAAACAAACAAATTTTTGGTTCACTATTAAATATAACTTTTCAGCTCTTTGAAAAAAATTCCTCGTTACTCTTTAGCAAAAACTGAAATGAAATTTTTAAGCTCATATTCGAAAAGAATGTCATATTTTTCAACAAACCTATCTAACCTTAAGTTTTGATAATGTATGACCTAAATTTCCCAATCCATGCCATTGATATTGATTTTTAGCAATTCGACTCATTGTTTCAACTGATTCAAGAACATTAACAATATCATAAATTCGTCTTCGTTTTGTTTCTATAATCAACATTTCCTATGATTATACATAAAAATTCCAGAAAACTCATTTACCAAGAACTCGAGCCATTTTATCAAGACAAATAACAATCATTTCACCCTACATATTTACATTTAAAACAAAAGAAAAAAAATACATTTTTAATCTATTTCCAAGAAATAAAAAACAAAAAATCTAAAATCATTATAAATTATAAAATCTACTTACAGGATGAACGTTCGGTGGATACATTGAAATAAATCTAGACGAAATGTACACGACAAAAAAAACATTCTGATATTGAATATATTCAATTAATCCTACCTCTGACAAAGTAAACCAAGTGATTTATCTTTTCTTGATTGTCCACTATTACTATTATTATTATTATTATTTATTAATTTCGTTGTATTATCATGTATTGATGAATTTGAATTATCAACATCACTTGTTGATAAATGATAACTTGTAGTCGATTGATGATCATATGGTGATGAATTAGCTGGTAAATAATAACCAGTTGGTGTTATTATTTGATTACGATGCCAAAATTGATTATGGTCAAGTATTGAATCAAACATTGAATGAGATAATGATGATGAATCAAGTAATGAACAATTATTAACAAGTTCATCTTCTTGTTTAATTTCAACAGTATTAATTATATCTAAAAAATATAATTCTTAAAATCTATAGTTATACAATAGTCCCAAAAAGTTCGGCTATGTCGTAAAAAGTATACTAACTTCAACCCGCTTGCTTTATATTTTGACTATAAATAGAGCTTGGTAAATTCTGATCGCAAATAATAACTCGAGATCCTCCTTTCTGAATGTTTAAATCAAGATCTTTTCGATTTTTTGTGTAACTTTGAAGTGTCCTCAATCAAAGACTATATAAATGAGAGCTCTTCGTTGTTAGTTAACACTTTTATTAAATCCAAATCTCGAAATCTCTCTCTAGAAGAAAAAATCGTATGGTCGAACTGTTTTAGAAAGAATCTGTTAAAGGGGATCACCTTAAATGCGTTAATCTCCATTTTCTTATTAACAAAACAGACACGCATATCTATTTTGTGTCACAGATAGAGTACTTCAATTCACAAATCTATGCCGATTTTCTAGTTCCTTCAGATGAAGATCACTGAATCTTCGCAATCATAGTTCAACATTGCTTTATTTATAGTCAAACTATCAAACAAAAGAATTAAAGTTTAGATACTTTTTACCTGATATCGGAACTTTTTGCGATCACAATATAATTCATTACCATTGTTATTATTATTATTATTATTATTATTTTTTGTTTTTGTATTAGTTTGAGTAATAGTTATATCTTGTTCCGGATCATTAACAAGTTTTTTAATTCGTTTTTTTCGTTCTTTTTTTATTGGTAGAGTTTGTTGTCTATATGTTTTAGTTTCTATTGTATCAGAATTTGAACTACGCAATTTACGTCGATTAGATATATTATCATTTGATAAATCTTGTTGTTGTTTTTTAGTTTTTTTTATTGATGATGATGAATCAATATTTGTTCTTGTTATACGTCGATTATTGCCTCTTATTGTTTGATTCATAAGCATTTGTTTATTAAAAATCTGTAAGAATTGAAATTTATTTATTTATTTATTTATTTGAATCAAGATCGGCGCCACGCAAGGAAAAACATTGATTGATTGGCGCATTCATCTTTCTTTAGCATACCCCGCCAAACAAACTTACCAGATTCTTTCTTGTTTTTTGTTTTCTTTAATATATTAATCCAAGTTCGATGATAATATATGAACGCGATGCGATCAATATTATAATGGATTAAGAAAAGATCATGCACAAACACGAATACTGAATGATTGGCTAATGAATAATGATAGTCAACAATCGGGGTATTGTCTCATTAACTGATCAAGGCAATAGCACGTGTGTTTAAAGAGAAGAAGAAGAAATGAATAAGTTGATTATTAGATTAGATAGAAAAGTTTAGTTTTTTTTTTCTTTTTTTTTTCGTGCTTGACAACAGAATAGAAAAAATTATGTATATTATATAATAATAAGTTCGAATTAGTGTGAACAAATTTTTATTTTGATATTTCAACATAGTACATTAGAATTGCTCGATCATTATCGAATGACATAAGTTTCTTAATGTGTTATCTTTCTATTCAATATTTTCTTAGAGGCAAACATTAAGAAATGAATGATTTATCACTTAAAAATTGTTTCAAGGTTAAATTTGTGATGTTGCTTGTCTGACGAAAAATTTAATGCGTAATGATTAAAACTATGATAAACGAATAGGTCCAATAAAATATGAATATTCTATTGAAAATTATTATAAATTCTGTATAGGAACGAACAGGAACGTATAAAGATTATTTTTCAACTATCCTCAGTTTCTCTTCATTCATGCTTTACCTAATGAGGAATTTCATGAGAAATCGTTCGATAGCAAAATAAAACGATTTCAGAAAGATCCAGATCTGGCTTCTATAAATTTTCTTCCAGTAATAATTTGCAAACTGAAAACTATGTAAATCGACTATTCATTCTATGGTCTTACTGAAAATCATTTAGTTATATTATCATTTCTACTCACGTTTTACTTAATATCTCGATGAGGAAAAAATACCAACATGAGTTTTTGATTGATTCTGTAAGTACATAGAAAAGGTTACAAAAACCAAATGGTTTTTAATTGTTTTAGAAGTGGCCTTTGCTAAATAAGACGACTTGAAACTCATTTCGACATTAACTTTTCATCGATCGTGTATAGATTTCGATTTTAGGAAGTAGACTTTTAGTCAAAGCGAACACAATATTTGGAGTCATTATAAAAAACTGAATCGATTTAGATGTGTTTAGAAATCTTTCGATGAACACTATTTTTTTTTGAAAAACTTTCAGCTACGTTTTCTCTCAGCATCCAGTCAAAAAAGTGAGTTTAATTAGAACACTATTTTTATTGGTTAGTTATTCATTCTTTTGTTTCGTAGTGACGTTCTATAAGCTCAAAACTTGCTTTTTTGACTCATCAAACGATTTTCTAATTAAATACATTTTTCGACTGTATCCTAAGGATACCCTAGCTAAATTTTTTGAGACAAAAAGTTCATCGAAACACACATAAGTCGATTCAGCTTTTATGCTGATTTAAAATATATGATTCATTCTGACTCAAAACCCAACTTTTATAACAAAAATCTATTAAAGATCGGTGAAAAAATATGATGTGTTAATGTATTCGAGTCACCTTATTGAACAGAAGCTATTAAAAAAATCGAAAACTATTTAGTTTTGTAGTCCTGTTTAAGAGCTTCCAGAATCAATATAAAACGCATGTTGTTTTTTCCTTTTCTCAAGATATTGAAAAACTAGTGAGCAAAAATAGTATTATAACTTTATAATTTTCATATCTACATCATTATTTTGTAACACTTCAATATTTTTGAAGCTTCTCTGTTGACTTTTGACAGTGATCGACATGGCTATCATCCATCGCTAAGTAGGATAAATGGATACAACACTCGAATCCATACGCTAATAAGATTGACTTTTTCAATTTTTTCTTTAATATTTACTAAAAACTAGTGGTTCTGAATCTATACCTCCGTAATTTTATTTTATTTTATCAGAAGAATATTCGAGAAAAGCAAACAAAGAAAAAACTTGGAAGCTCTTATTGTGCTAAGTTGTAATGCGGTCTTGGTTACATTTTAAAACAAACTTGAACTTTCTAGTAATTGAAATGGTTGAGTAATTTGCAACGCGGAGAGCCATAATCTTAAGCTAACTCTACATAAACTCAATGTATCGAACTGAAATTTTTACTGAAGATTTCATCAACATCAGATGGTTGAAAAAAATTTTGAAATTAGGAGTGGATGTATAGTCGAAATATTTTGGAGATTCAAAAGGCTTTTTTCTTCATTTAAAAGTTTTATAACGGAGTTTGGAAAAATTTAGTAGAACAAAAAATTATGTGTCGGTCGATCTTTTTTTCTACTTTACCGATTTTTGTTTATTGAGACCGGACAACGATGCATATCAAGTGCATTGCTATTTCAATGAAGATACTATGGTCACAGATTGTATACAAGCAAGAAAAACATTGTATCACATAATTGTGTTGCGCCAACTGCAAAATATAAAGGCCGAAAAGAGACCAAGGATATATCCTCTGTTTGTTACTACGAAATAAAAGGAAGAAAAAAAAATGATTAAGAAATTGTTTTTCTCAAGAGATAATGTTCGACTTGGATCACTAAAATTTCATCCATGTCGGACATTGCTATGAAGCATACCAAGTATTCATAGAAACAAGACTTTTTATGAGAACTAATGAGAAGAACTTCTGATCATATCCAAATTTTTGCCTCCCAAAATTTGAACTTATGAATGACGTGCATGTTCAACTCATGGAAAAAAAATAAAATAAATTTTATGATTTCTTTTAAGTCAATTGTATCGTAGAATAAAAATCTTTTATGTACTGAAATATGAAAGAAGAGTTAGTGTTTACTATTCTTTGTGCCTAGAAAAAACAAAGAATTAAGCTGGTTTTTTTTTAATTGTCCGTATGATCTTGTTTTTTCTTCTTATAAATGAAAAAAGAAAAGGGCGAGATAAGGATCATTTAAATTCTACAAAAAAAGGACCAAGGAAAAAAAAATTTCTTTTATCAAACTAAGTCATTGAAATTAAGTTTTCATCGCGTCTGTTTTCTGTGCTGCTGTTGTTGCCGATGGTGGTATCCAACTTTCAATTTTAGATCGAACTGTTGTATATGGTACATAAAGTTGACTTGTACCAGATTTATTTTCAATATTATCAATCATCCAGGCTTGTCGTTTTAATGGCTTAATTGTTGGTGGTTCATCAGCGATATATTGTAACCAACGATGCCTATATAAACAAATCAAAGATATACGATAGAGGTTAATAACTGTTGAAATTGACCATCTCGATAAATTTTATTTCTTCTATGTCTAACTATGATACAAAGGTGTCAGAAAATCGAGTTCTGGTAGAATTGGTTAATTAGCATCAATTCATAGGAAAATACTCCGCATGTACATTGAACCCGACTGTTGATAATAATCGGTTCTTTTTATGTATCTCAATCTCATGAGCGATCAAGAAAGCTTTCGTATGGCTCGATAGCATTGTTCAAGCGCTTCAAAATGGTATAAAAACATATAGAAAAAAACACTGACCAGTCAAAGAGATCCTAAGGAGACTATTCTCGAGATATAATTTTGAGCTGTGTTTAGGTTTCGATACGAAAATTATGAATTTGATGAAAACTAATATGATATTCCGAATCAAAATCCAAAACTATGTGCATTTACTTGTATTTCAATTATTTTCACAATCTTTTTTTTATCAAAAATTTCACCTGTGATTCCTCTAAGAATTGGATCAAAAAACTAATATCATCAAAAAGTTATTTTCATAGTGGAAATTAAGCTCTAAGATAAAAAAGCGATAGTAGAACTCCAAAGAGTAGTTGACTATATTATAAAAACAAAACTTTCATGAAATTGAATTTTTGACCCTGCCCATACTCAGCTTTGGATGCTGATTCAGAACATCATATTATCTTTTATTCAGATCGTATTTTTTTAATCAAAATCTACTAAATACCGGTAAAAAAAAGGCTCAGAATCATGTCTTGAGAACAATCCCCATAGAATTTCTTTGACTGACCAATGTTCTATGGGATGGATATATAAAAAGAACCTATTATCACATCAATGGTTGGGTTTAATGTGTATATACGACTGCCATTGATTATTTCAGCAGAAATAAGTGCTATAAAAATAGTTTTATCAGGACTCGTTTTCGGACACCTTGTATGATCGTTTGACATAGAAGTAATCGAATTTCAACAGTTACCGCTTCGGTCTCCTTATTATTTTGTTTGATGAAATTTTACCATTCAGGTGGAATTTGGGATGCATCATAATCAAGCCCGACACGATCAGCATATTTAACCCAACGACTACGACCTAAAAAGAATAAATTTTTACTATCTAAAAAATGACCCTTTTCGTATCTTACCAACAAAATAACGCTGATTTTGATAATAATGATTGCCATATTTATCAGCGCCAACACATGTACCAACTTTTAAATCATCATAACTAAAAATGATAAAATAAATGTTGAAAATAAAAACTTGTTTTTTCTTCTTTTTTTACCGATAAAGTGCTAAAATTGTATTTTTTATGCCACCATAATGGCGCATAATCATAAACCATTGTCGAACTTTTGCTAAAACTCCTTCGGTCATTATCTGCAATAAAAACAAGGAATTTTATTGATTTCAATAATCACAAAAAAATTGCGGACAAATTATCTATCATCTATATTGATAACGAAAAAAAAATTTAGTTCAAATATATAAATATTTAAGGAACTAATCAAAAAAAATATATGTATCTATATATTATTGCGAATATTAATTGTTAATTATTGCCGTTTTTTCAAGATTTTCAGCTAATTTGTCAATTGTATTATCATCTAAATAAAATTGCATGAATAAAATTTTTTTTTTTTTTTTATTTATTTAATATCTACCTTGAGCAGGTATAGTAAATAATGATGTCCAAAATGGTCGATGAATTTCTTTAATGATGTTAATAGTTCGTACAGATCTATAAAAAATCAAATTTTTTTATTTTTATTCTTCAATTTTTATCTAAATAAACATACACAAGATCTTGAGGATATTTTGCTGAATCTTCTGAACAACGAATAGGTGGATCACCAAGAAGAGTAGCTACACAAGCTGAACCACAAACATTTAATTGTGACAAACAATAACCTCCCTAAATACAACATCTATTTATTTATCCAATAAATCAAATCAATAGAAATACGAACTTCGAGTACTTCCAAAACACGTCCATTAGCTAATGAAAGTAACATATGAGTCATTTGAGAATAAGCACAAGCTGATAATTTTCCCCAACCCTAAAATGAAAAGTTATTAGTACAATTTCTGTAGGATTAAAATGTAAGATACGATGTAACTGCTGTTGTTAGTCACAGAAAGATTTGATAGAGCAAGATGAGATGTTTCGACTCTCTTCATCAAACTGCATTCAATTTATAGAAAGTCCTAAAATGTTAAATACAGTGAAATCATTGAAATTTTTCATAAAAATTTTTTTGGGTCTTCTTATAAGTTGAATACAGTTCGATGAAGGAAGGTCATGGCTAGAGTTGATACATCTTGTTTTGCTCTATCAAGTAAAATCATAATCGATGCCTGAAAACTGATTTTGAAGGTCTTGGCTTTCCAGGCATCCTCATTCAAGCAGTTTTATTCGAGTTTTTAGATCGACCGATACTGATAGAAAAATCTTTCAGCTACTCAAATGTTGAGTTTAAAATCTCAATACTCGAGTCATGAATATCATGACAACCTTTATCTATGAGGCGAGAGGAAAAAAGGAATATAGTTAAGGTATCTATTACGGTCTCTGACTAGCGTTTCATTGTGGGCATCCGGGCGGATATTGCCTTATTTAATGACACACAAGTCTGTTTCTCTGGTTAGCATTAATCGAAAAAACGTCGCTAGTAAAGAGAAAACGCTCTTGAGAAAACTATATATAATCTAAAACTGCAACGTCAAGTACTATTACTGAAACACATGTTCATTATAATAGGCTCACATAATTTCATAAAGCTCCAAATTCCAGAGAAGATTTTTTTCGAATTTGATTTTTCAGGTTATATTGACATTTTAGGAATGATAAAACAGAAAATAAGCTGTTTCTGCCTCTATACTTCACCACTCCTTTTAGATCATGTTTCACAAGTAAAAAAATTTCATGTGATAAAAAAGAAGTAAATTCAAACTCACAATACGATCTCCTTCAGCAGCATCAAAACCAGCACAAACTAACACAAATTCTGGATTATACTATAATTCAAAACAATTCATATTTGACATCGAATATTAAATTTCATATTTACTTCATAAGCCATTGGTAAAATAATATGATGAAAAGCATTTATATAATCCGCATCAACAGATGGTGGATCCTATGAAAAATAATGTCTAATAAAATTTTGTTTTCTTAAAAAAAAAAGATATATTTACAAAATTTAGCCATCCAATATTAACATTAAATCCAAGTCCTTTATCTTTTCCACAATCGTTCGGATGACCTTCATTCGGTGGAAATGCATCAACACAATGTAATGATATATAAAGTACTCTGAACAGAACATTTTTTTGCATGAAAAGTTTTTATTTAATTAAAAATATTTTTTACCCAGGATCTTCATAGAAAACATCCTACATAAATAACAGTAATAAATAAAATTTCAATTAAAATCTTTACCTTGACTCCATCACCCATATGATAATCAAAATCAACGATTAAAATTCTAAAATTAATTTATCTTTTTACTTTAAAATTGAATTCAGGCTTTTGTAAGCCATGCGATCACTCAATAAGAAGTACGAATAGTATCACAATCATCCAATAAAAGTGAAATCTACATGGAACATGAAAAAAACGTTTTCTAGGCTTAGGCTTACAAATCTCATCCGTCGTTTTGATTTCAGATTTTTTTCGGACTAATACTATCGCAGGCATTTAGAATTCTCATAAAAAAAACTTTCAAACAATTGATTTTACAAATCTATGAAAATTGTTTAGTTTATGAAATAATTCTTATTCGTCGAAAATGAGCATGAGAAGACTTAACATCTTCTGGTCGTACACTAACCGATTCGCTTTGTTGATTTCAACATTGAAAATGATTCTCACAGAATATATGACTCATACTAGATTTTCATCACGAAATTTAGTTGAAGCAAGTTAATATTATTAGAATCTAGGAAATAGATTTTGGCTTGTCAAATATCTATTAGATGAAATCGTATTTAATCATAATAACGCAATGCTAAACATGTTAGAACTAGAGATTTTGTTTTCACACATCTCTAGTTAGAACAAATCATGGCCGACTTCACAAAAGTCGATCCCAAAAACTGCATCAATTATGTTGTATAATTGAATGCACAAGTGTATTTTTGCACTAGGAGCGACATTTTGAAAGATAACATTAGCACCAGCAGAAAAACTTTTAGACTGTCGAGCATTCGGAAAAATATCTGGATCATTATAGAATCTTGCATGAAGTAACTATTTGAATATAGATTTATCTTTTATTGGATGATTGTGTAGTTTCTAAGAGTGCATAGAATTGCTATTTTTTACCTTTGAAGATTATAATGTTTTTGTAAATATCTTGCACAAATAGCAACGTTATTAAAATAACAAAAACCATAATCTAGACTGCAATGAGCATGATGACCAGGTGGACGAACAATAGCAAAACCATTTTGTCCCTAAATTGAAAAATGAACGATTCAAAAATTTCAATCAAATAATAAATTACTTCATCCGTCATTATTGCATCAACCATATTTAAACAAGAACCAACAGCTAAAAGAGCATTATCAAACATATCCTAATTAATAAAAACCAACATATTCTTCTTTATAAATATAGAAAAAAAAAATATGAATTTAAATTACATTTGTATATTCAACAGAACGAAGTGCTCCTTTAAATTTTTGTAATTCTTTTTGAGTTGCTGTTTTTGTACTTTTCATAAGTTCATAGAATTCATCACTATGAACAAGAAGAATTTCTTCTTTTGTTGCCGGACGACTTGGAATCATTTTACAACGTTGATCAAGACCACGACTTTGAACACCTTTCCAAATAGCTTCTATTCGACCAGGTCGTTCACAATGATTTCTAAATAATGAACAAACAAAAAAAAATACACATCATATATAATTTTTGTTTTTTTTTGCTAACGAAAAACCATCCGTCAATGGTTGAATATGAAGATTAAATATGAGTATTTATTACATTTGCTGTTTTGAAAATTATTATTTCAATTACCTTGATTGAAATTTTTTCATTAATTCATCATAAACAAGAAGTGTACGTCTAAAAAGTAAACTTCATATTCATACAAATTAATAAATCTTTATTTTTACCCTCGTTCTAATGGTTCTTTATGAGGTGCTAATTCTAATGCACGTTTTATATCTTTTTGAATTTTTAACGATTCTTCTTCTGTTCGATTAATAACAAGTGTTGGTGTTAAATCATATTGTGCTGGTTGAGTTTCCTTATTGACCAATGGAGCTAATGCTCTAAAAGAAAAAATAAATTCGTAGTACAAAATAAAACCGGTTAATTTTACTAACCGTTTATGTTTTGCTTCTTCAATGAAAATTTCACTTTTATCCATTGAATCAATACGTAATGATTGCCAATAATCTTTCAAAACGTTTTTACAACAAGCAACCGATTTTGTTACACTTAAAAAATAAATATAGAAAAACAAAATTCAATTCATATTCTTTACATTGGATCAGGAGTTGCACATGCTTGTAATGGTGAACATGAATCACCTAGTAATGAACGTAATGTCCATACAGCACTTTCAGCTAATGTATCAATACAATAACCACCCTTAGAAATAAAAAGTATAAAAATAAATTTGAAAAATAAAAATAATTTGTACTTCAAGAAGTATCAACACTTTTCCATTAGCTAAACCTTTTAAATAATGTGTTAAATGCGCGAATGTATCTGGAGTAATTTTCATTTGACCCTATAATAAATCAAATTAAATTTTGTTAATAAAAATTCTTTTTTGTTACCTCCGGACAACCTAATACGGTATCATATCCAGCCGAAACAAGCACCAAATCAGGATCATACTAAGAGAATAAAAAAATGTGTAAATTTTTTGTTCATTAAACAAAATTTCTGAGTTTACTTCATATGCAATCGGTAAAATAATATTAAAAAATACGTATAAATAATCGGCGTTTTTTAATCCAGTCTAATTATTATTATTTTCATACAATTTTATCAATATGAAACAAATTATTTCTCACTTTATTCAATGGTATATTCACATTAAATCCTCGTCCATCACCTTCTCCAATAGAATCAAAATCTGATTCAACAAGATTTGGCCAATATTGACCATATTCATATCGATGAGTTGATATAAATAAAACTCTAAAATAGAATTTTATGTTTTTATCTAACATTTTTATTTCATACTTATTCGTATCATAAAAAGCATATTGTGTACCTTGACCATGATGAACATCCCAATCGAGAATTAAAACTCTAATTAAAAATAAAACAGATTAATTCTGTGTATACAATAATACTCAGGTCAGAAAACGACTAAAATGCTATATCGTTATTATCATCCATGGATTTGCACTTA